GGACCTTAGAGGTGTTTTGTTTTAACTTTTGTGATACCCGAGTAGCGTGTCATTTGGATGCTTTAATCGCCACCGTAATTAACAGCCAGATTTACCCTTTATGATTATTTTTCACGGGCGAAAAAAAGCTTTGGATTAGGCGTCTAAGCCATAGCGCAGCTGGGGGGGCAAACATGCCTGGAGTTTCTCATTGCCCTGCGACGCTTTTGCCACCGTACATACACAAGTCAATACGCTGATAAATGACATAGCCCGTCGGCCTAAATAATAGCATGCACTGATAGGACGGTGGCACTAGTCTTAATCGTCGTAGACAAATCAGGAGAATGGAGAACTGCCTGCTCTCCTACTCGATTTTTCAGCTGTCTTTTTAACTTTTTGAAACCAACAACATTTTTTACAGGCCATGAAAATTCAGGGGAATTAACACGGAGCAATTGCTAGCCATTACTATGATATATACGTATATACGTATACATATGATACATTTACTATATCTAAGAATTATAATGCACCGAAAATACGTGCCCATGTAAACAATTTCAAGTTTACAGGCATCCCGCATCACGCATCAATTGTGCATGCAAACTATTTCGATTAAACAGGGATCTCACACCGCGCGTCAGGCATAACGTATACATGTCAACGATTTTAGGCTAGCACGCATCACACATCAAGGCACTCACCATATTCGCATAATCGGCCATAATGGGACCTGTGCGTGAAGGTCCGGTTGCCGACTTTTTATAAGAGCAGATTCACTTATTTTCCTATCTTGATGGTCCTGTGCTCTGAAGATGACTTTTAACTCTGAAAGGGGTATGGGGTCCATTGTCCATATATACATACATGGCTGAATTTCAGCCTGAGCGTGTTTTGCTAAAAATTGATCACCGAAAGGGGTATTCTTTCTTTGGTTTTGAGTGCCTTGCAGGCGTTCACTATATCTCAAACGAATAGGGCGCATAGACTCCGCGACAGAAGGATATTCAGAGGGCAATTTTTTCTTTAGTATGGATATTGTCAATCTATATGCCAATGTACCTGCCAATGAAGCTATCGTTGCCGTGAAAGCTAAGGTAGATGAACATCTTAATGAAAAGAATGCGTTTGGTTTATCAGAGGTGACTTTTGCAGCCTTTTATAAAAGTATCTCCAGGATACTGTTTTCTGGTTCCAAGATGACTGCTATCGACAGAAATTGGTAGTCGACAGAAAATATCGACAGAAAAAAAATGGGAAAACCATGCGCTTCTCCTCCGGCGATAATATTTTAGCCCAATTCGAAAGGAAGGCCCTGACCGCCAGTCCTTCAAAACACACTTCTTTAGCTTAATACACCGATGATTTGCTGGAGGGTGGATGCACAGCGTGCGCTTGGATAATTTTTAGAGTTCATGAACAGTCAGCATCCAAAGTTCGCCTTCACCGATGGCGCACACAGGGGACAGACAGGGGGTTCCATATTTTGATTCACTAGTGACTATAGAAAGGAGGAACAACCGCACAACGTTAGAAACGGATCTCGTTGCCGAACCTACCAACTCTGGGTATGATATTGCACTGCGAATCTGTGCATCCAACTTCCACAAAGCATAAAACTCGTAGCATGTTCCATAGGCCTTTAAACAAGTCATCTGGTAGCAAAAAGGAAAGAAAGAGTATATAGTGGTCATCCCGAACGGGAAAACATAATCCTGGAGATACTGTTCTAAAAGACAGCACTATCCACCTTTGATAGACTGAAAGCACCCATTTCATGAAAATGCTCATCTACCTTAGTTTTTACAGCAACGATAGCCTGGTATGGTTGTCGTGAAAACTAGGGTAGGTGCATTACATTATTGCATCATTGGCTGGTACATTGCCATATAGATTGACAACATCAACACAGAAGAAAATCCTGCCCTCCGGTTATTCTTCTACCTGTAAATGATTGGAGGCCTCCGATGCTTGGTGAAGAAACATGGGAGGAACATTGATTATATCGGGGAGTCCATGTGCTCTATTCGCTTGAGACCTAATGAACACCTGCAAGACGCTAAAAACAAAACAGAGAATACTCCTTTCGGTGACCAATTTTTGACAAAACACGCTCAGGCTAAAATCCAGCGAGATATGGACGATTGAATCTATACCCGTTTTAGAGCTTAAAGTCACCTACAGAGCACAGAACCATCCAGCCAAGAAAATAAATGAATCTACACTTATAAAAGTCGGTGACCAGACCTTCACGTACATGGCTCATGGCCGATTATGCAAATGTGATAACTGCCTTGATGTGTGATGCGCGCTAGTTTAAAATCGTTGGCATGCATAAGTGATGCCTGACGCATGACGAGCGATGACTGTGTAATTGAAATCGTTTGCATGTGTATTTGACGCGTGATGCGTGATTTCTATTTACTAGAAGTCACTTGCATGTCTGAGTAAACCGTGATGTGCCATACCTATTCACTTTAATTTGTTGCGTGTGCACGTATTTTTCGAGTTTTCTGATCGTTAGTTAGGTATGCACTGTGTAGTAGCAATGGCTAGCAGTTGCTCCTTGCATAATCCCCTGAATGCTGTCAACCTGTGAAATCTGTGGGTCGTTGTTAAAAAACAGCAACTGAAAAATCGAATAAGATCGGCGGGTATTTTTCAGTTTACTACTGATATTCGTTTCGGTAAAAACATTTTGCCGTAATATCATGCACCTATCTCTCCATTCTCCTCCTTTTTTTGCCAGGAATAAGGCTGGCTGTCTGATGTATATATATATATATATATATATATATATATATATATATATATATATATATATATATGTATGTATGTATATGGAGGAGTTGTCTTCTCTGTACGCATACATGCAGTTAACAACTCACATAATATACACTGTGCTGGGAAGAAGGTTCGGAACCGCAAATCACGAGATAATGCTTTTACGCCGGTATGGTGCAATAGAGGTCCCTCCACGTTGGGAGGGAAAGCGCATGACAGCCGTTTGTATAGTTTCTTTCCAATCAACACCCATAGGGCCCATGCTAAACTTTCACAACTTTGTGGGCTTCAGCTCCTGTCGCCATCTCCAGTTCTCGCGCCCCAAGCCTTGTGGTGGTGCAGCGCCAGGGGCGGATCCAGGTTTTTCCCAGCCGGGGAGGGGGGGGGGAAGGCGCATAACATTGTGGAGGCCAACATGTACTGCTCACCCCCCCCCCCGCCCCCCAAAAGGAAAAATCCACGAAGTCCGGCCATCAAATTTCAGGATTGTTAGTATGCTATTTTATACGGAAACCCGTATTAGTGTGCGCATTCCTAGAAAACTAGGCGTGCTTCGTACGCACATACATGTAGCTTATTCATTTTGTTCACATCATAGTGAAAACTGCCATATTAAGGCTACATTTTTGGATAAAACCTGGCAAAATAAGCTTAAGTTGGGTGCTAAATACCATTAAAACCAGGCCCGAACTTGATGCCTAACATGCTTACAGCTAGCCGGCTGGTCGATGTGATCAGCCGAATGCTGATGACTACTCCAGTTTTTGCTTTGTTTGTTATGAAGGAGAACAAAATATCCTGGCATTAAAATATGTTTTCTCAATATGGATCGGAACGTGATGCGCAAGTATAATAGGTGTCGCAAATGCAATAGACAACCGAAATATGACATACGACGTCCGTGGCATATACAATTTAGTTTGACAATTGCGCGTAAAAATTCATCGGCGCACATCCGAATGCTGTTCCAAGGTTAAGGCACCAAGGGCTAACAGCGATGAAACCTGAGAGATCATGGTTGCCACGGCAGGCTAACAAAGAGGCTTCCGTCAACGAATGTGGGGTCCTCAAAGCAGAGCGAGAAGAACCCAAGACCAACGTGATAGGCTCCTAAACGATCGGGAGTGCCTCGGCAGGCTGACGTATAAGACCCCAAACAGAGCATAGAGCCCCTTAAGCAAAGGGGCCAGTTTACGTGTGCGCACCTTAAGACCAGTGTGCGTGAATGAATACCCCCGTGCGATCAAGAGTGCCCGGGCAGGTTAATGGAAAGGGCTGCAATGGGAGTGAAGGCTCCCCCGCAAACGAGATCAAGTGGAAAGGGCCCTAAGCCAATGAAGAGGGCCCTGAGCATCGAGTGGCTACGTGCCTTATAAGGCACTGAGCCGATATAAGGTAATTTATACCTTATATTGGCCCCGGGGACAGCATAAGGCCCTTCGAGCAAATGCAAAAAAATCAAGGACAACGTAGAAGGCTCCTTAACCATCAGGTTTAACCCGCAAATGGACATATTGGGCCCCCGGAAACAGCGTGGGGCCTCCGGACAACGTAAGCAGTGTTGAGACCTCACCTTTCACCACCCTATCAATCAGTGAAGAATAATTTTGTCTTCTCGTGGGCGCTTAACTTTCGTTTGCGACTTTTATTGGCCGCCTGAAAGCGCAAAGAGGTCCAATTTTTGTTGCAGTCAGTGTAAAAAAGTGGTGTCCTGTTCGACCGGCTATGCGCCCCTTAGAGTCTATGGGGCCCCTGCAGGGGCCCAAAAGGGGGCATGACCCCGTACCCCCTGGATCCGTCCCCGTGCAGCGCAATGTATATGAGTTGTTTACAGCTTACATAGCAAGGATCATTCATGAGAACGCCAGTTATTAAACGCATAATTTCTTACCCATTTTTTATTCAAGTGTAATGATGGTGTTAAGACCTCCCCATCCCCCTATTAAAAATTGGTAGTGCTGCTGCTGGTCGCATGGGCTGCAGTACGTGTGCTGAACTTCCACTTAAGCGCGCTGCATTTAGATGCAGGCTAGTGCAAATATTTTTTATCATAATTTCTAATTTACTACTCGATAAAATATCTCAAGAAACTATCGAAGAGTAATTCCAGACAAAATGTGGCTGACGTGTCGGAGGGAAATACTCCTGGGCTACGAATTTACATTTATGGCGCAAATGCTTCGTTCCAAATTTGTTTGGAATATCGGGGAGCTGCAGTGAATCTGTGGTACTTACGTAGCTTCCGTGGTTGAGTTGAGGAGTGACCGACCGGCTGCTGGTATTTTTCGGAGAGACTTGCCCAAATTAAATTGGGTGAGCACATTGTTTTATGCAGAATGCGTACTTAGTAAGGTCCGCGTAAGGCTTGAGCTTCCTAGGACTCTTGTTTGTTTTCTGCCTGACCACAGAACCTTTATATTCGTCTGTTTTGCGCGTCTCTTATGTTCTCGAAAGCTGTACTGTACATGTGGTAATGGCTGGCAAACAAATTCATGAAAATGCAAAGTTTGCATTTTCACTCATACTGATTTTAACACATGCATATTGTGTCATTTTCCGATGTTGGTTTGTAACATATGCTTTCTTACTAGCAAGGTTGTGTAGTATTCCCGGCAATGTTGAGATCGGATGGTTGGTTCATGATGTTGTATGGGAATCATTAACACAGAGTATGTCATCTGGTATTCATGGGCCAGAAGTGCTATATCTCTCCCAAGAATGTTGTGCTCACATTCTTAGTCACAACTTCAGGCATCAAACTGAAGCTAATGCACTTACTTTTCAGGTTTACTTGCCCATGCTAACATGGAGCTATTCAAAAGTGGTCTGAAAACAGTGCTTGGGCACTCAGAGCCAAGTCCTGAAGTGTCGGGAGCTGAGACTGTGAGTGCAGTAGCTGACCCGTGTGGCCAATACCCAGTCAGGTGTCATTTGGACTCAGTTACATTTTGTCTGTCGGATGCCATTTGGAAGTGTGCTTTTAGCAAAAGATGATAACACCCTGCATCTCATTTTAAAGTGCTGAATATTGGAGAAGTAGGGGCAGCTGTTTTTTGGGATGTTATGTGTTAAACAGTTAAGTGATGTACTTTATTAGGTGTATGTTCTGTGACTAGGACTTGATTAGTTTTCAGGCTGTCTGTCTAGACAAACAAACCAGATTTGTTTGTTTTAGAGCTCAAAATTGCTGGAGTTGTACTGTGGCTTATGATCACATGCTTGCTGCTGACCAGTGACATGTGATCTGGTGTAACCAAGTCTGGTGCCACCAGACCAAAAGGCTGTGATGGCAGGGTTCACTGTATCTGATAGCTGCCTGTCACATATATCGCTGTCACTAGGACACCTGTGACAGGTATTGTCTTATGATGGGTATTGTGTTTTCCTGTATACCAGGGCCCCAGGGGAAGTGACCAGATCACAGCACAGCAGCACTGTTTAGCAATGTATGTCACTCCCTGACCAAATGGAAGCCCTGGCACAAGTGTTTGATGATGTGCAGTGTGATATGGAAGTGCTCCTGTACCTGTTCTTGACCATTGTCATGGTTCCCTGTGACTTGCAGCTCTATCAGACTTTTTGGCAACTGGCATGACAGCCCATCACATGGCTAATAAATCAGGACATTTGGTTCCCATGTGCTTCCCATTTACTTCCTTTGGCAATACACATCCATGTGGCTGTGCCAAGTGTGTTTGTGTGCTGTATGATGTGACATGTGTTTCTGTAACTAGTCTTGGCAGCATGACAGGCAGCTTTGTGATGATGAGCAAATCATGTGCCATCTGCCTCCATGGCTAACATAATTGGCAGCTATTTATGTTTCAGCTATGTCATGGATAGTTGAGTGTCCAACCCTGGCCCTCTGGTAGGAGCTGTTTGACTGATAATTTCTGTGAGATATAATCATATGGCTGTGCCTTCCTTCATGACAAAGGCCATATGGTTGCCAGATGATTATGTGGCAGATGTTAACATTACTGTCCCTGACCTTTATGAAATACAGCCATGTGACCACCACTGACCCTGTGACAGCTGCTCACATGGCTGCCCTTATAATCCCATCGCAGATGATGATACCACTCACTGTATGACATCGGTTCAGGGCTCTTTTGCTGAGTTATTGACCTTTATTATATAAGGAAGTACTGGTCATTGACATAATCATGCAAACATTGGTTATATTGACATTATATGGTTTTGCCAATATGTGTATGTGAGTACTCTCAATACTACCAATGTATGCACTTCAACATCAGTTAACTAGTATCACCAGGTATCTTAAAGATTGGTAAGTCAGCATAAGAACTCTCAACAATACCACCCCCCCAAAAAAAGAGCATGATTCACAGTTGTATAGCCATATGGTAAGCACCTCTCCTGCCCTCAGGACAATTAACAGCATGGCTGATTCTATGACCTCTGTGATGGGTGGAGTGCCTGACCATGTGACCTTTGTGACAGGTGGAGCACCTAACCCTGCGACCTCTGTGAAAGGTAGAGCATCTAGCCCTGTGACCTTTGTGACAGGTGAAGCACCTGACCCTGTGACCTCTGTGGCAGGTGGAGCACCTGACTTTGTGACCTCTGTGACATGTGGAACACCTAACCCTCTGACCTCTGTGACAGGTGGAGCACCTGATACTGTGACCTCTGATGGGTGAAGTGCCTGACCCTGTTACCTCCATCACAGGTTGAGTGCCTGACCCTGTGACCTCTGACAGGTGGAGCACCTGACCCTATGAGTTCTGTGACAGGTGGAACACCTAACCTTGTGACCTCCATGACAGATTGAACACCAAACCCCATGATCTCTGAGATGGGTGGAGCACCTGACCTTGTGATCTCTATGACAGGTGGTATGTCTTACACTGTGACCTCTGATGGGTGGATTGTGTGACCCTGTGACCTCTGTGAGAGGTGGAGCACCTGACCCTGTGTCCTCTGTGACAGGTGGATCACCTGATACTTTGACCTCTGACAGGTGGAGCACCTGACTGCATGACCTCTGCGACAGGTGGAGCACCTAACCTTGTGACCTCTGTGACAGATTGAACCCCTGGCCTCATGACCTCTGGTAGGTGGAGTACCTGACCCTGTGATCTCTGTGACAGGTGGAACACCTGACCCCACAACCTTTGTAGCAGGTGGAGCATCTGACCACATGATCTCTGTGACAGATGGAGCACCTGACCCTGTGACCTCTGTGACAGGTGGGGCACCTAACCCCGTGACCTCTGTGACAGGTGGAGTACCTGACCCCATGACCTCTGTGACAGGTGGAGCGCCTGGTGGAGCGGCTCCGCTCGGCCACCCTCCTCGAGGATCGCCGGGATGCCTGTCGGGGCCTCAAGGCCATGTCCAAGAAGTTCCGGGTGGAGGTCGGAGCACAGGGCATGGGCGACCTTACTGACGTGAGTGAGGCGCAGGGGCGCAGCCAGGCTTTTCTTAAAGGTAGGGGGAAGTTAAGTGAGAACGCGTCACGCCGATTTTTAACGTTCTGTTAGGGTGCGATCTATGGTTAGAAAGGGAAAAATGCACTCCGACTGGAGAAGAGGGGGGGGGGGGGGGGACTAAACCCCGTTCGCTGCGCCCCTGGTGGGGCGTCACTGGTGGTGGCGGCGCTGTGAGCGCGCATTGTTTGGGCGGCCCCTTGCGCCAAGGATGGCGGTCTGTGCGTTCTGTTGTGACCGGTGGGGTGCGGCCTGTTGTGATCGGAGGGATAGCGGGCGGGGTGCGGCCTGTTGTGATCGGCGGGTTGGCGGGCGGGGTGCGGCCTGTTGTGATCGGCGGGTTGGCGGACGGTGTGCGGCCTGTTGTGATCGGCGGGATAGCGGGCGGGGTGCGGCCTGTTGTGATCGGCGGGTTGGCGGGCGGGGTGCGGCCTGTTGTGATCGGTGGGATGGCGGACGGGGTGTGGCTTGCTGTGATCGGCGGGCTGGTGGGCGGGGTGCGGCCTGTTGTGATCGGCGGGATAGCGGGCGGGGTGCGGCCTGTTGTGATCGGCGGGTTGGCGGGCGGGGTGCGGCCTGTTGTGATCGGCGGGTTGGCGGACGGTGTGCGGCCTGTTGTGATCGGCGGGATAGCGGGCGGGGTGCGGCCTGTTGTGATCGGCGGGTTGGCGGGCGGGGGTGCGGCCTGTTGTGATCGGTGGGATGGCGGACGGGGTGTGGCTTGCTGTGATCGGCGGGCTGGTGGGCGGGGTGCGGCCTGTTGTGATCGGCGGGATGGCGGACGGGGTGCGGCCTGTTGTGATCGGCGGGATGGCGGGCGGGGTGCGGCCTGTTGTGATCGGCGGGCTGGTGGGCGGGGTGCGGCCTGTTGTGATCGGCGGGCTGGTGGGCGGGGTGCGGCCTGTTGTGATCGGCGGGCTGGTGGGCGGGGTGCGGCCTGTTGTGATCGGCGGGCTGGTGGGCGGGGTGCGGCCTGTTGTGATCGGCGGGCTGGTGGGCGGGGTGCGGCCTGTTGTGATCGGCGGGATGGCGGGCGGGGTGTGGCCTGTTGTGATCGGCGGGCTGGTGGGCGGGGTGCGGCCTGTTGTGATCGGCGGGCTGGTGGGCGGGGTGCGGCCTGTTGTGATCGGCGGGCTGGTGGGCGGGGTGTGGCCTGTTGTGGTCGGCAGGATGGCGGGCTCCGTACTGGCTAGGGGACACACACGAGTTTTATGGGCATCACTTGACACTTAAAGTTGCGTTGAAGTCGTATAGTGTCGCACAGATTGTGATCCTGCGACGTATGGACCAAAACGTTAAAAGGACGTCGAAATCAGGTGTCGTATCGACGTTGACTGTAGGTCCTGTTTGTTTGTATGATGTAGGCTCAACATTCGTCTTGAAAACACTGCACACATTTCTCCCACGCTAGTGCACCTGTTTCAGGCCCTAACGTTGCGTTTGTGAAGCGTGCTATCTCCCATCCGATACGCCGACGTTTGCTGCAGTTTCCTGGGTCATTTGCATGAACGAACTTCTGTTCACCCCTTCTGGGGTTGGGGGGAGGAGGGAAGGAGGGCTAAGGAGAGGTTTTGCGTGTGCAAACTCGCTGAAAAGGCCATTTTAGCCCGCAGGAACGCGAAATGCCTGGCATTAGCATGGAATATGATTGTTTTTTACATTATTTGGTTTGTATGATTCCGATCAGCTTTAATATCCAACAGGAGCTTTTGGGATAATCTCTACCCCTTCTCCAGCCTTGGTTGGACAATAATTTCCTCGAAAAGAGATTCATGCACGCACTAGGAAAAAACAAACAAGTCACGTGCAATCAGCATTTCTATCCCTGTGAGGTAGCGAAATTGAAATCAGTGACCCAGCTCACAGATATTGCTAAAATCCATTTAGTTTTACGAATCTGCTCCGAGTTTTCGATTATCATCATTTAATTGCCCTCATTACAACGCAAGCAATGTATTCGTTAACAAGGGGGGGGGGGGGGGGGCACGTGCCGCCCAGGGCTACTACGTGAGAACGCCCCCGCTTGCTCCTGCTTTACCCACGTTGACACTGCCACTTCAAGTATTGGTGCCAGTTACACAGCGTGTTTGCTCCATGTCATTCTCACCGCGCGGACGCGGTTGCTCCAGGTTCTGGTGAACGACAGCGCCGACTCCGAGATCACCAGCTACGCCCTGGACTCGCTGTGCAACATCACATGCAGAGAACCGTTCGACGAGGAGGAAGGTAGGGGAAGGGAGTGTAGCTGTGCGCGTGCTGCGCTGTGCTCTGCTAATGTTGTGCAGTGTCGGACCGTGTGGTGGAGTGCTCGCGAGCGTGGTGTGAGCGTGGTGTGGTGCTCGCGTTATTGTGCTGTTTGCTCTATTGCAGTGTATGTGTCCCGATTTGAAGGAGGTTGGTCAGCCAGTAACAATTTTCGCTGCGCGACGGACAGCTGGCTATGTTGCGCCTATGTTGGTTATCATCGAAGTTTTGCGGTTTTATGTTGTGATGAGGGGTTCATTGTGTACCACTTAGCACTGGGTTGTCTTAATCCATAGCTGTGCGTTTTCACACGAATGGGGGTAGTTGTAGCCTGCAATTTGTTTGTGGTTTTGATCAAAAGACATCATCAGGGTGTTATTTGATATCTAAAAGTGCGCCCTATGTGTCGTCTTACATCCAAAAGCATAATGCGGCATTCATGTTACACCACAAAGGGTAGCTTTATTCACATTTCATGTCAATGCATACAGTGCCTGTAACTCTGCTCTGTTTGCGGTGCATTTTCCGTTTCGACGTCATTTGTGCACGATGTGTTATCTCATCGAAAAGAATGCCACATTCTCGCAAAGCGAACTCGTTGTCCACCTGAGCCATCTCCGTCTCCTCCCCCCCAGACATCGCGCACCCGGAGATCGGGGACCAGTTCACGGAAATCTTCATCAAAGCGCCGGAGAACGTGAACCTGGTGGTCGGCCTGCTGGCGGAGTACGACTTCAAGATCCGCTACCCGGCCGTCAAGCTCATCACCAACCTGCTGACCAACAGGTGAGGTTGCCTAGTGACGGACTTGGAGCGAGAAACGGGCAGATGAAAGCTGCTGGTGTGGTCAGATCACGGTGTATGTTGGTTTGTCACATATGTGTCGCAGTTAGAGTCGGAGTTGCGTAATCATGGATGCAGGACATACCATTTGACACGCGATGCAGGTTGTGCATATGTTCCAAAGCGAAGTGTCCTTTTCGACTTTTTCCACTTTGTTGTCGACTGTTTCCACACTGTTGTCCACTTTTCCACTTTGTTGTCCACTTTTCCACTTTGTTGTCCACTTTTCCACTTCATTGTCCTTTTTTCACCATGTTGTCTGCTCTTTCACCTTATTGTCCACTTTTCAACTTCAGTGTCCACCTTTTCCACTTTGTTGTCTACTTTTGGCTGATCGTTTGTCTCCGACTGTCCTGGGTGTCCGTGCTGATTGATAGCCGGTCCTGGTATCAGCCCTGGCATCTCCTCATTTGTTCTGCCTTTCTTTAGTGGTAGTCCCTCCATGGTTGTTTGTCTTAACCATCAGTCTTGCTTGTCTTTCTCAATGGTCACTGCTTGTTTCCACTGTCCATCTCCTGACGGGTAGCTCCACTTGTCTCTCGCTCCGTTTATCCCTTGTGTAGTTCCGTCTGTACTTGGTCTTTGATCGTCAGTTATCGTGGTTTGCAGCGGTTTCCCAGGCCGTTATTCTCCAGTGCGTATTCGTGAATCACTGTCATTATCCTCTGCTCTGAGGATCTTGTTATCTTTTAAAAACTGCTCCCCACCACTGTTTCCGTGTGATTGGCCGTAATTCATTATTTAACTTCCTGGGGGAAAGCATGCATGGTACAGGGTAAGAAGTCGTCAAAATATTCTTGTTTTCAGATAAATGACATGTGGTTGTTGATAGAGTACTTCATAACAACTTACAGTTAGAACCGGTTTTTACTGAAAATTCCATTTGTTTTCCTAGTTGTCTGTTATGACCGCCAATTCCAAACCGAAAGGTCAACATGCCTTGTCTTGTCTGAAGATGTTTTTCAAGGTCTCTCTAATAGCCACCGCTTATAAATCGGAAGATCAGGATTGTCATCTCAGACGGCACCTCACGCTGCGGTAAAGACGGCTGATTACCAGTTCACGTTGTCCGTCTCGACTCGCCGCAGGGCCCGCGAGCTGCAGGACCTCATTCTCGTGTCTCCGATGGCCGTGTCCAAGATGATGGACCTGCTCAACGATCCCCGCGAAGTCGTCAGGAACGACGTGAGTCGCGTCGGCAGCCTCTGGCATCTGGTGACGTCACTGGGACGGAGAATAAGACGGTGGCGCGTCTCGTCTGGTGGCCCTGGCTATGAGATAATATATAATATATGTAATGTTATAATGTTAGATATATGAAATAGATGATGCGATTATACTGTCATGCATTTCCCATATCTGTTTATCATTTTATATTTCCGCGTTTTTTATAAACTCAGGCAGTATTTAAGGTCTTTTGCGACTGCATTCCTGGATGGCAACCAATGGTGCTGAAGTTTTTTTGCGCTGGGAATCGAACCCCGAACCTTGTTCCATGAATTCACAGGCCTTATTGTCTCGACGATATATATATCTGTCCAACAAGCTTGGCAGTGCAGAGCAGAGCGCAAAACAGACAGAAGTGCAGAGCGCAAAACAGACATAATGGGATGTTCTTCTGTCCAGTCGTGCAGGGTGCGTTCAAGCGTTCAAGTTCAAGCGTTCAAATGCAAGCGTTCAAGTGTTCACCTCGTGACGTTGTTTTCCCAGGCGCTCATCATGCTGGCCCAGCTGACAAAAGGTAACGCGAACATCCAGAAGATCGTGGCGTTCGAGGGCGCGTTCGACCGGCTGTACGACGTCATCGTGGAGGAGGGCACGGCGGAGGGCGGCATCGTGGTGGAGGACTGCCTGCTGCTCATGCTGAACCTGCTGCGGAACAACGCCTCCAATCAGAGCTTCTTCAGGGAAGGTGAGCACGAGGACGGCGGAGAAGGGGGAGCGTTAGTGACGACAGGCTTAAAGCACCAAACCCAGAAGGGTGAGTCGGGATGGGAAGGGGAGAAAGGTGAGGTGGAGGGGGAGGGGGTGGAGGCATGTTGGTGTCGGGAACAGCGTGTCTAACCAGAGTTTCCCCGGTGGGGGAGGGGGGCGCCACGGGAGGGGACTCTGGAGAGGTGGCCGAGGGCCAGACGTGATGGGAGCGGGACGTCCGAATGGATCTACGTCAGGGGAGGGGGGCGGAGCGTCAGAGGGGAGGGGAGGGGAGGGGAGATGATTCACGCCGATTGAGTCGGGGGGGGGGGGGGGGGGCCGGCACGGCCATGTGTGAGGTCGTGGTGGGCTGTGGCCTGATGCTCCAGCAGTTCCGAATGGCCAGCCTGCTGCGATACTGGGCATGAATCCACCAAACTCGGCTGCTTCTGAACCCGTGTGACCGACACGATAGTGGACGGAAAGTATGAGGCAGGGGTCGAGGGAGAGGGGAGGGGGAGGACTTCGGCGCACCTAGGAGTGAGATCGTGCTGGACTTTCTCCTTTTGATACTTACCCTGCTCCATAATGACCTGCCGTAAGTAGATCTTCTTCCGGAAGGTGGGCATGTCGTGGACGGCTGCTCACGTCGGGGGGGGGGGGGGGGGGAATGCCTCGGTCGAGAAGGCCTCGAGATTGCACGGAATGGATCTGGATCGTTTCTTGTTAGAGACTGTTGTAACTGTTTAACAGTAAGGCCAGTGCCGGCGCTGGCGCGACACAAATAGTTGCAGTCCCTCACCCGCCGCCCGATTTACTAACGTGGCGCAGTGCGAGTTCTTATTATATTGCCTACCTTTTTCATGGGTCGTTGCTTTACCATTACATACGTAATACGGCTCATGGTACGCGCATGCGTATTTCATCATTCTGCATGTCGGCTGTCTCCATATGCAACGCGGTTATCACGCGCAGGCAGCTACATCCAGAAGCTGACGCCGTTCTTCAACCTGAACTCGGAGGAGCCGGACGCCGGCTGGTCGGCCCAGAAGGTCAGCAACGTCCACTACATGCTACAGGTGAGGGCGGCGACGCTGCCGGTGCGGTCGTCAGCGCTGCTGTGAGTGGCACCTGATCAGGCTGACTCTCACCGCGCCAGTCACCTGTAACGTGTCTGACTTTGTGGTTCAACAACATTTTATTTGCGTCCTTGCGGAACGCTGTTTGCGGCGTCAGCCGAGTACAGGGCACAGCGGGGTAAATACAGTGTTTCGGTGTTTTCGCCCGCGGTGTTGACGGCACCATATGGTTCCAGTTGACTGACGGGTTAGCTGTCGGGCCCCGACGCCGACAGGCAGTGACGCCGCTGGACTGACTATGGCATCACTGCCTGCCACTGACAGGCTGTGGTGCTGCCAGGTGGTGACATTACCACATGGTGGTGTTCACCAGTGGTGACGCGGACTGGTGTAACGACGATCGCCTGAAGTTGACAGACATCGACCGAAGCAGATTGTGACAATTGTGTTCTCATTAGTTGCATGTCCTCCTGACATGTTCTCATTAGTTACGTGTCCTCCTGGCATATTATCATTAGTTACGTGTCCTTCTGGCATGTTGTCATTAGTTACGGAGGCAAGCAGGGATATTGACGAGGCATCACAATGTGCAGTATGTGACAAAGGAGGCTTGCCACAGTGCGTATAGCCCTGTTGATTTTGCCATCCGTCATCATCAGTCCATCAGTCCATCATCATCAGTCCATCAGCAGCGCCGTTGAAGCAGTCGGTCGCGCTGGTGACGTTACCAACCGTCCGGTCGGCGCCCCGCCACCGGCGGCGGCGCAGTCAGCTGACGCCGCTCCTGGCCGCCAGGTGGTGCGCACGTTGGTCTCCCCCAGCAACCCCAAGCAGGACACGTCGGCCGCCCAGCGCGTCATGCACGCGTGTGGCCTGCTGTCGCTGCTCTGCCAGGTCAGATCGGGGGCGCGGCGCGGCGCGGCGCGGCGGGGCGGGGCGTTGCGGGGCGGGGCGGGGCGGGGCGGGGCGGGGCGGGCGGGGCGGGGCGGGGCGGGGCGGGGCGGGGCGGGGCAGGGCAGGACAGGAGGACAGGACAGGGCAGGTGGATGCGTCGTGTCACGGGGTGGTGTCGGCCCGGTTTGGCTAAGACGGAGGTTGTGGCGAGCAAGGTTGTGGTGATTGATGCTTGCTGCCGATCGACGCCCGCCGTGCCCTGCCCTTGGTTATCGCTCTCGGGCCAAGGAGCCAATCTGCACCAATCACCGTCTTCCATCACACGACACCGCTCCGCCATTGGCCGACTCGGTGGGTTGTCATGGTGACGGCGGCCGCTGTGGCAGGTTCTGATGGCCAGCGGCGTGCCGGCGGACATCCTGACCGAGACGATCAACGCCGTCTCGGAGGTGATTCGGGGCTCGGATGTGAACCAGCAGTTCTTCGCGCAGGTCATGGCGCCCTCAGAGCCGCCCCGGTGAGCTCGGGTTTTGGCGAGGACGTCGAAAAGCGTGTGTGCATCCTGAGTTCTTTGACTCGGTTTTTCTGGGGATATTATTGGCTTCTGGGGATTTCTGGGGATGAACTATGACTTTCCGTGTCGGGTTGTGGGTACTCGGCTCAGCTGGAATCACATGCGCTGTCTTGTGAATGATAAGCTGCGTGGTTAATTCTAAGCCTATTGCAGTACTTTTGACTTTCATTTTTGCGTTCCGCTTTTGGTTCGATTTTGCCATTAGGTTTCCACCTGGAAGTATTGAGCTCTACTACAAGTTCTTACGCTAGTGCATTCTTCCATCCGGCGCGTCGTATTGCCGTGCCGGTGTAAGATCACGGACGTCTGATCACGGCGACGTGCGACGTACTAGAGCCTGGTCCACACGACAGCGGCCGCACATTGCCGAGCCCTGTGTGACGCGTTGGCCGTTGTTCCAGACCGGCGATCGTGGTCCTGCTGATGTCCATGGTCAACGAGAAGCAGCCGTTTGTGCTGCGCTGCGCCGTGCTCTACTGCTTCCAGTGCTACCTCTACCGGAATCAGCACGGCCAGGCGGCCGTGGTGCAGACGCTGCTGCCGAGCCAGACGGTAGGAGGGTGAGTGGGGTTAAGGGGACCGGCAGGGTTAAGTATTCGTGTTGTATACGGTTGAGAACGTCTGTTGGTAAGGCGGGCTGTAGCTGCTTACGTGAGGTTCTGATTTATGTGTGCTGGTTGACTTATTTGCATGCATTTGGAGGAGGCATGTGCAGCTTCACGTGCTAATTCGGTGTGGTGGCCAAATTTCAATCTAGTGCTTTTGTGATGTGGTGCTGAGTTCAGTTCAGAAGTTAAGTAATTTATGCATTTTTAGCAGTGGCTCCCAGTGCTGGCGCCTTGCACCTAGTTCAAATGCGCTGTAGCTGGGGTGATCAGCTCGGTCGATGGATTTCATTTTAAGCGCTCGTTTTGTCTGCGCAATCTTTTTATGCTGGCGACATGTGACATCTCGCTACTCATGAGTCAGAGGAAAAAAGAATGAGCAAAACACTTAACAAACAAGACATAATAAGACATAAGTCTAGTGAAACATATTATGTCTGTGACGCCATTCGACCATTCTTACGGCAGACCGGGCCGGATTGTTTCCCTAACAGACCAGCAACTCTAAAGAGCCATATCCTCTCCAACCAATCACCACTATCGTCTTAACAGGCCCCAACTACCCACTATCGCCCCAACAAGCCCCAACCACCCACTATGACCCACCAAAATCGTAACCACTGACTAACGCTCCAATAAGCTCCAAGCACCCACTATCGCCCCAATACAAGTCCAATCCACCGCCCAACGGCCCAAGCCCACTGATCGCCACACAAGCCACCCACTACGCGTGGGACAAGTTACCACTATCTTCCCATGAAGCCCCAAACACACACTATCGTCCCAACAAGCTCCGATCACCCACTATCGCCCCAACAAGCTCCAGCCACCCACTATCGTCCCAACAAGCCACAACCACGTACTATCGCCCCAACAAGCGGTATCTGACCCGCTGCCGGGCTGTGCTCGCGCGCCCGTCAGCCTCCGGCATCACGGCGGGCCAGCTGCTGTGCGGCGGCCTCTTCTCCAACGACCCGCTCTCCAACTGGTTTTCGGCGGTGGCTCTGTCGCACGCGCTGGTCAGCAGTCCGGAGCAGCGCGCCCAGCTGCTGCGCGTGCAGCTGGCGACCAGCGTGGGCAACCCGCCCGTCAGCCTGCTCCAGCAGAGTGTCACCATACTGCAGCAGGTGGGCGGCAGCGGTGGTGATGTCTACTGAGGTCTATAGAGATCCGCCTGGGTTTGCCGAGGTCTACCAACGTTTGCTGAGGTCTACCGGGGCTGGCCGAGGTCTACTGGGGTTTGTCGGCGTCCATCGGGGTTTGCTGAGGTCGACTAGGGTTTTCCTAGGTGTACCGGGGTTTGCCGAGGTCTACCGTGATCTACCGAGATTTAACAGGGTTTGCGGAGGTTTACCGGAGCCTGCCGAGTTTTACCGAGATTTAGCAGGGCTTGCGGAGGTTTACCGGAGCCTACCGAGTTTTACCGAGATCTACGTGGATCTACCGGGGCTATCGAGGTCTACCGGTAGTAGCCAAGGTTATACTAAAGAAAACTAGTTGTCATGGTGTGGACCGGGGCGTACTGGTGTCTACCGAGGTTCTCCAGGCGTCGGTCTACCGAGTGTCTCCGAGACTGTACCAGCGTGAACCGTATCTGTGCTAGTGTCCATCTAGATCTGTCCGTGTCAGACGGGATTTCTCTTGTTACAACTGTCGCGCTCCGATGGGGTCCTCCGTGGCTAAAAGATGGCGTCAATCGAGGCTTTTAAAATTTCGGCTCATTGGGCCGACAGCCAACTCTTGTAATGGAGGAAAGAAATCGGCAGGCACCTTTCCTCTTGGGAGATTTCGGCGTACCCAGTGAAGCCTGAAGCTGAAGGTCTACCGGCATCCACCGCTTGACCGGTGGACGCCGGTAGAATCCGGCCGGCTCTGACCAGTGGATGAGCTTGAGTCCATAGGAGGACCATTGCGTTGGGCTGTGGCGTGCGCGGCTCCCCGTCAGTGCGCGGTGCCATGCGCGATCTGTTTACCTGTTGCTTTCGAAATGTGAACATCTCACCCCGTGTCCCCCGGCCCCCGCGCGAAACCCCATGACCTCCCCTCCTGTGTCTGTCCTGAGCCTGCGCCCATTACCTCTGGTCTTTCTCTGCCCCCCCCCCCCCCTAGATCGATCGTTGGCCGTTCCTTTCGCCCCCCCCCCCCCGTCCCCAGACGAGACGCCGTGGTTTGCTTTCTTGTCCGCTCTTCTTCCCCTGAGTCCATCGGCTCCCGTCCGCCTCTGCCCTCCCCCCCCCCCCCCCCACCTCCTCCATCCCTAGAGTAGGGTTGTGACCTCTCCTCCCTCCGGCGCCCGGCCCCGGGACGGGTCACGTGACTTGGCGCCGTGCCTGCGCCGCCAGACGGCTCGGCTGCAGACCAGGGTCGGCCTGCTGATGCTGCTGGGCACGTGGCTGGCGCACTGCACGCCGGCCGCCAACCAGCTGCTGCACATCCCCAGCACGGTGCCCTACCTCATGTCACAGGTGAGGCTCGCAGGGGTCACGGGCGAGGTCAGCGCAGGTCACAGGTCACAGCTGTGTGCCTCGCTGCCGGTCAGAGGGCCGCCGCGGCAGCTGTCGGGTCGGGCTGTGCTTCGTCGCAGGTCGGAACTGCGACCTGCCTCGCGTCGCAGGTCAAGAGCTGCGACCTGCCTCACGTCGCAGGTCGGAGTGGAGTTTCAGGTCAGACGAGAGGGGCACGACTCGGGTCATATGTCAAAAAAGCGCTCAAAGTCAGCTTACAGGTCAGGAGTCTGCCCTACTTGAGGTCATAGCCTACAGTAGGTCACATGTTGTGCTGTCACGTGGACGAACTCAGGTCGCGTTCGTCGCCTGTTCGTAACGTATTCTTGCCCAGCCAATCAGGACCATAGGACTGGTGGGATCCGCTGATACTGTTGGGATCGGCTGATATTGATGGGATCGGCTGATACTAATGGGATCAGCTGATACTGATGGGATAGGGTGGTGCTGGTGGGATCGTCTGGTACCAATGGGATCGGCTGATGCTGGTGGGATCGACTGATACTAATGGGATCGGCTGATGCTGGTGGGATCGGCTGATACTGATGGAATGGGCTGGTACTAATGGGATCGGCTGGCACTGGTGAGATCGGCTGATACTGGTGGGGTCGGGATACTAATAGGATCGGCTGATACTTATGGAATCGGTCGATACCGGTGACATCGGCTGATAGTGATGAGATTGGCCGGCACTGGTGGAATTGGCTGATACTGATGGGATCGGTTGGCAAGACCGTTAATAAAAAACTTCCACGGAATGTCGGAGAAGCTGCTCTGCCCTCCGCCCCCCAGCTCGCGCGTTTGTGCTCACCAACGCAGTGCGTTTGACCGTGGCCTGGGCCGGCAGCTGACGAGTAACGAGAGCGACGAGCTGGAGCAGCTGTGTCAGGGCGTGTGCGCCTTCATCATGGGCCTCTGCGTCATCTCCACCGACAGCTCCGTCCCCAACTACACCAAGGTCAGTCGCCTGCCGCACTACGCCGCACGCCTTGAGAGAGCCCTCCAGGCAGCATGAGCGTCCCCGTACGCGGCGCCGGGCTGGTCGAGAGTCACGGCAGTTGGCGTGGCGGCTGCGTGGCGCTGTGCCTGCTGCCTTTGCCTTTTCCGGCTGAAATACATCGACGGCGAGGGGATCAGTGAACAAAGAGGCGGCTTTTCTAGTCTAGCAACGACACAAATCAGTCCTAGATTTATTTTAAGGTCCAGGTGGCGTCAAAGGAAGCCGGCGCTGCAGGCAACCCTCGCACGCACCAGCTCTCACTCAGGCTTGCGCCTGACGGTAATGACCTTAGGTCGGTCGGCAAATAACGTAAGTTGACTAGAAAGCCAGTGAATGGCCCCGACCAGTTGTTGGGTGCCCTGTCACGCGCATCCAGGCAGGTTGCTCCCCGACTGGGATGGACGTGTGTCTGACATAGCGTCTCCGTCCTGAGCTGACCTGACCTGATCTGGTGATCCGGACATCACCAGATCTCTTCGACCTCAGCAGTCTCCGACCCGACCTGGCCTGACCCGACCTGACCTGACCTGACCTGACCTGACCTGACCTGATCTGATGATCCGGGCACCTGACTGGGATCTCTTCAACCCCAGCAGTCCCTGGGTTCGACGTAACGTGACCTGACCTAACCTGATGATCCGCGCATCTGGCCAGATCTCTCCATCATCAACAGTCCCTGACCTGACCTGACCTGGCCTGACCTCGCTGCATCCTCAGGAGGACCTGACGCAGCTGATCGAGCGGCGCGTCGGCGTGGAGACGTTCCTCAACAAGCTGAGCCTGGTGATGAAGCACGAGCTGTACAGCCGCAGCCTGAAGCACCCGCAGCTGAGCGCCCGTGAGCCCCGTCACCTGGTGTTCGAGCACGAGTTCTGCAAGCTCTTCAAGGCCCTGGAGGGTGAGTCCGGCGCCGGAGCAGGATATAGGCGAGAAGGTGATAGATGGGCGAGAAGTGCCGGTGGAAAACTAATCAGGAGGGATGGTGGGCAATGTGGTCGCGGACTCTGCGAGAAATTAGGCGGAAGTGGTGAGAGGCTGCAGACGAGTTGTAATTGGCGCGGTCTCAAAACAGAAGAGTTGTGGTTGATGCAGTTGCGAATTAGAAGGGATCACGCTTGGTGTAATTACAAAATACAATGGATTTTAGCTGGTGGCATATTTCTCGACGTTTGTCGCCGTTAGGCTGTTAGAAACCGGGGTCAGTGAAGGTTTTCTGCTGCGAGAGTGGGTCCCAGATATTTATGAGGCGGACCCAGTGCCTCTGAACACCTGTTCCCGTGCGACCCAGGCAACCCTCGACTATCGCTGTGGTCAGCTGAGGCGGGCACCGCTATTCAGAAGCGCGTCAGACTGATGACGTCACTGGCCGTTCACAAGCAACGTAGCCAAAGTTTTGCTCGGCGGTGTCACACAGGGTGACGTCCTAATGACGTTACTGACCGTTTACAGGTATTGTAATCACGGTTATGCCGCGAATGGTGTTTCGCCCAAGGTGACGTCACACTGACGACGTCACCGCTCGTACGCAGGCGCTGTGATCAAGGCGGTGACGATGGAGGACGAGGAGGGCGGCAGTCAGTCGCCGTCGCCCGAGGAAGAAAACGACTCCCAGATGGTGCAGCGCTACAAACAGCTGATCCGGCAACAGGTGATATACTTGTGACGTCATTTGACGCGGAATGCGTGGCGTGATTGATTCAGTGGGTGTTGTAAGGCGTTGGCTTTATAACCTGGGTGCGTGGAAATCGCGTTCGTATAACGCGTTGACGTTCTGCCTTTTCGTTTGTTTGTGATTTCCTATGACATTAGGCCTTCGCATGCTTTTCAAAGTTGTCTCAAAAAGATGCTCGAGAATCAGCCAGCAAAGACAGTGTAGGTATTAGTGCAGTGAGCCTGCTAAACTGCACCACGGGAGTAGATGGCTCTCTGTATGTCGCTGGTGATGCGAGCGTGATTTGGGTGCAGTCACAGCGCCACCCGTCATTCTATGTCGGCTTGCATCTGCCTGTTGTCCAGGTGTTCCCCATGCGGCTATCACTTCAGTTGGGTCTGAGCAGTCTACCACCCATATTGATATCCATTGTATGATCGGATCATTTTCGCGTATACATCGATTTCTCGGTCGCCGTCCATCTGTCATCTGCTTATCATCTGACTGCCACCAGTTGTAATTTGTCTCTGTGACCCGTATATGCCGCTCATCTGTGTCGTGACTCAGCTGCTTGCCACTGAGCTGTTGTTTCATTGTCAGCAATCTGGCATCTGCTTCTCACCATATATTATCTACCCATTTACCCTACCTACCCTTATTATCTACCCGTCACCACCTGTCATCCGCCTGTCACCACACGTCACCTGCCTGTCACCGTCTGTTACATACTATCACCATCTGTCGGTGGTCTGTCATCATCCGTCGCATGCCCGTCACTATCCGTCACCTGCCCATCATCATATTCACACACTGTCACCATCTTCATCCGCCCGTCACCATCTATCGTATGTTCATTACCGTTTTCCATCTACCCGTCACCATATGCCATCTGCCTGTCACTTTCTGTCACATACTGTCACATGCATCACCATCTGTTGGTTGTTTGTCACCATCTGTCTTCTGTCTGACACCATCTGTCACCTATCCGTCACCATCTGTCGTCTGTCTGTCAGGACGAGGAGCTGGCCAGTCTGCGCGCCTCGCGGTCCGTGCTGGAGGCGCAGACGGAGGCGCAGCTCCTCCAGATCAGCGAACTCAGCTCCAGCGTGGCGCAGCTGCGTGACCAGACCACCTTGCTGCGCGCCCAGATCAACACCGGTGCGTGCGCCCTCGGTCGCCGTGCTGGCTTGTTGGCTAGGCTAGGCTCGGTCGCCTTGCTGGCTAAGTTTTGTGACACATGTGCTTGTGTCTGACTGGTGTCGGGCGTGTTTGAACGACGCCGATGTAAAGGACATCCAGGCCGCCGTCCGTGTCCAGCTTTGCCCTCCCAGCTCTGGTGTGAATTCTTGTCCTTTTCGCCCTGTTTAGTGAAACTATGTTGCGCGCATGTGATGTTTGTGGGACATGTTCAGGAAGGGCAGCCGTCGCGGTCATTCTTGACTCTTTATTGCGGCGCACGGCCTGCTTGAGCGCACCATGCCGTCATGTTCCCAGATCCGAACCGACCGGTGGCAGCGGGCGACGCTAGCGCTTCAGCCTACCAGCAACAGATGGCGTTGATGTCGGAGCAGCACAACCAACAGATGGCAGCACTCAACGCCGACTGGGAAAGGCGCATGCAGGAACTCACCAGCGAAAACTCCCGACTCCAGGAGATATTGGAGTCACAGGAGCAGGAGCAGCAACATCAGCAGCAAGCAATGGTTAGTGGGAAGTGGGAATGCAGTGTTACTAAACATTTTGTTTGTTCTTCTGTCCATAACCTTTAAAACGTGGATGTGATGTTAAAAGCGGATCGGTGAATTGTCGATTCGCGGTGCAACTGATAATTTTAGGGCTTGAATTCAATTGTGTTCTGTCTTGTTACTTAAATCAAACATTGATGTCTTAGGTTCGTTGTGTGCATACGTTTGAATGTATTGTGCAATTTGCTCTCTGAGATTCCATCGTCTCCAGCTCAAACAATTCTAACGATGGAATATGACTTGATGGAAAACCTAAGGCAGCTGCTGTTTTTCAGTAGATTCTCTTGAACATGCTGCGTCGTACCGTTCGTTCGAAGATAAACGTGCTCGTTAACCGGCTTGCGTTGTTCGTCAGACCAACATGGCGCCCCCCGCATCGCCGGCTGCTGACCCTGCCGAGGTCACGACCTTGCGGTCTCAGGTCAGCGACCTCCAGCGACAGCTCGCGACGGTGCAGCTGGGCGGCGCAGACGCCGAGCTCGCGACCCTGCGACACCAGGTCAGCGACCTGCAGCGACAGCTCGCCGCCGCCGGCGCCGAAGCGGCCGAGGTCGCGACCCTGCGGCGTCAGGTCAGCGACCTCCAGCTGGCGGCGGCGCGCGGCAGCGACGCTGACGGCGAGGCGGCGACGCTGCGGTCACGAGTCGCCGAGCTGGAGTCGCGTCTGGCGGCGGCGCCGGCGCCGGCGCCAGCGGAGACGGAGCCGGAGCTGCAGCGGCGACTGCGCGAGCTGACGGCCGAGGTGGCTGAGCTGCGCGCGCGGGACGCCGAGCTGGAGGAGCTGCGGCGCGAGCAGGAGGACCTGCTGGTGCTGCTCACCGACCAGGAGGCGCGGCAGGAGGAGTACAAGCGGCGGCTGCGGCAGCTGGGTGTGCAGGTGAGGGGCGAGGGAGGCACTGTTCGAGGACGGACCCGGCACCGACTGGCGAGATGTGGGGACATTCTGGTGGGAGAGACGAGCTTGATGAGCTGCCCTGATGCCAGGGGCTGTGTAATCTGGCTGTTACTATGGCGGTAATATGGATTTGGTATGGCTGTGTGCTATGACCGTTGCTGCCTGTGGTATGTGGGTAGCGAGTCTCCGTCGCCTACTGCACAACGCCGAGTGGGTAGGTGATTGAGGGTGCGGGTAGAGTGTCAGTGCTGCCCAGCACCGGGTCGGCGGGATCCCAGGTGGACTGTGTGGGCTGTGTTTAGTGCGATGGACTGGGGGACTGTTGACTGGGGCAGTCTGGTGTAAGTCTCAGTCCGGCAGCCTGATCAGTCAGTCTCCACGGACTCTCTCTCTCTCTCTCTCTCTCCATGGCGTGCAGGTATCTGGGCGCCCTGAGTTGAGCCGGCGGAGCTGGCGGGCGTGGTCGAGGGTCGTTGGGTGGCGTGTCGGGAGGGGTGGCTGGCTTGGTTCTCAGCAGCGGTCTGGTGAGGTATTGAGGGGGCCAAGGTATGGGGCAGTAGGGGTGCTAGCCGGTGTGGTACAAAAACCCGACTTGTGGTGGGCGGCAAGAGGTCGATTTGGCTCACCTGTGGTTGAAAGTTAAGAAAGCGTGCTCTAGATAGTCGTCAAAAACACCTCTGCACAAATACCCCGCCATCCTGGCACCATACAGCACGGCACCACTGAGTTCGATGAGTCTCTTGGCAGTGTGGTGATGCTGACAGACGGGAGGGACCCGCTGACCCTGACGCCACCCTGCCTGCAGGTTGAAGACGACGACGACTAGCTGACGCTCCCGGCGCTTCGCCTCAGGACAGAGCAGATATGGGCCTACCACTGTGCAATGCCCGCCGGGCCCGGGCGTGGCACTCCCAGCGTACACTGCAGCGCCGTGGCGCGCCCAGTGTACGTCGGCTTCCACACGGGGCCTTCCCGCGCGTGTCTGGTGTCTAAGGACGGTGTGGCAGCAGGGAGCTGGTGGTCGCCGTGATCGGGGCGTGGCTCGCGGGCGCCGGGCGGGGCGCATTCTGGGGACCACGCCCGGGGCGGTGAAGACCGTGGTGATCGTGGACGTCAGCTGTGCTGTCGCAGGATTGATGGCACCGACGTGGCTGAAGCGGCGGCCGAGGCTGAAGATGAGTTAATGGAGCTGGCTGGGGCAAGCGTGAAGGAGCCGGTCTGATGGTGCCGAAAAGCGATGTGTGCCTGATGTGACGTGATCTGGCCATGTGTTGCGCTGGTGTAATGTGGAATGTGGTGTAATCCGCAGTGATGGGAGTATAGAGGACCGATCGGTACGAACAATTGCTTCGGTTGTGATTGCCCCGGCCGGTGACATGGTGCGCTGCTGTCTCTGGTGGCGGCCGGAGTGCGGCAGGCGCTCCGACCCATTAGCAGAGCCGAGGAGGGGGGGGGGGGGGGGGACTAGGTCCTGCCTTTCTTGATCGTAACCGCCAGTCATCATTGATTTTCGACGGGCCGGTCCGTCGCGGCTTTGGCAGAATGTGGCGGTCGCGCATGCGCATAGCGGTCCGTTTGGTTGACAACCAGGCATATCTTGAAAAGCCGGGTACATGAAGTCCGGGCACACTGGCGTGTCACCATTTCTGTGACCTCTAGGTCACCGGGTCAGCGTGCCGCTCGGTCTGTTTTGCCGAGGGTTGGGGGCTTGCCTGTTGTGACGCCCAGTGCAACCGTCGCGGAGCTGTTCGTCGTCTGGGCGCAGTAGCTGTACATAACACGCGCTCGTGTTTGCGGGACCTAAGCTTCTGAGGGAGGACGTGCATTCCGTCACTATTTTTATACGCTGGTGTGCGGTGATTTTGGACGAGGGTGCAATGCCGGGCCGTTATTGGAATATTCCAGAACTGAATCGCTTATCAAACTGTCGTGATGGGTGTTGAAATACATGCGTTGTCAATGTCACCTTTGCGCAAGTCTGACGACTTCACACTTTGCTCGGCCTTGACGGCATGAATCCGGTGACTGATATAAACAAAACGAGTCGATTCGTGCGAATTCGGACGGCCACTTCATAACGACATGCGGGGAGGCCTTTCTGGACCGCACGGAGATCGCGCGTTCAGGTACTGGAGTCATAAGTTTAAAATTGTTGTTCCATGGGTTTCCGTTAGTCCATATATGACCGCTCGAATCCTCTATTGTGCATTGTATATATATATATATATATATATATATATATATATATATATATGTGTATATATATATATATATACATATATATATGACCGCTCACATCCTCTATCCTTGCCTATGCATAATTTAAAGAAAAGGAGGTGACCGCTGCAGCCGAAGCTCCCCAAACACAAATATCATCTTCGAAATCGTAGCTTGTTGGCTCGATGAATACGCTTAATTAACCTTGATTTGCGTCCATTGGATTAGGCGTCTTCCCTTTAAACGGTGTTCGATATACCTTCACTCTGCCTCAGTGCTGGGGTTTTAGCAGTGACCCGTCAGCCGCTGTCACCGTTCCTCATGCAATGCTCCACTGAGCCACATGGTTAATCGGGCCCGTCTGGAGGCGGCCGTTATTTAAGAGCAATGTCCGCTGCCTTGTCGCTGACCAATCAAAACGTGACAGCAGCCCAGACCGATCAATCAAAGCGCAAGGATATGTCTCAGACGGTTGTAAAAAAAAAACTCATCGAGGTTGGGAAAAATTGCTTTAGTCGAGGGAGAACGATTTGAAGTGCTACGTACGTCATCTGGGTGGGTTGTAAAGTGATGTCATACCTTTCACGTCATCGCTGTAACGTCGCGAAATACTCAGTGGCTCCTCTTACGCCGCGAAATATATGCAATGATTCCTACCGCGTCGCGAGGCAGTTGCGGTTATTTATTCCAGGAAAAGGGCGAAGTTCCCTATTTCTAAACATTGACCACATGAACCCCACTCTATTGCCGTCCTTTTGTGAACCCTGCATGCACGTCACCTTTTCATGCTTGGCAGCCTCCAAGCGCGCAAAAGTCGAGCAGGGCGAAAATTAACGCACGAGTCCCATGCGGTTTTCAAAATGCGTGAGATGTTTGCGCATCATGCATACATACTCATCGCCCGCAATTTGAAAATGGCATGCGACTTGCGCGTTAGTTACGCGATACTTGCGAAGCGTTTGTTATGACGAAAGAAAGCGGACGCGTTGCTAAAACGTGCCTCAGGGAGGGTGCCAGATGTCAAATTACCTCCCGAAACCCGCGCATTTGGAGGGAAATTCTGCGAAATCGTCCATTATCTAGCGCATATGTCTTGACTCAGCTGGAAGGAAGGGGCGGGGGGGGGGATGCAGGCAAAGGTACTGGGTTAACATAACCTTCAACATTGGCAATATTGTTGTAAGATGTGTGTTGTTCCACTCAAAATGACGGCACATGGAGCACCGTGATGAATATATATGTCTGGTTTGCCAACAGTTCGGCGTTATTTTCTGTACTTGACCATGCATAGGGCACTTAGCAGTGTTGAAGAAACAGGCGGCAGCTATCCCGCCATTTCGCACGGAAGCACAGGAGTGTCATTAGCCCACACCGCAAAAAGAGGCGGAAAGTGATCGGAAAGCCTGCAGCAGCGATGAGCTGAGTCTCGACAACCCATGTTCCGAATCCACACTGATGTAAAGACTTGATGACGTCATCAACGGCGGTGAGCCATGCCGGGGCCTTATCGGGGCGTTGATAGGCCGGCGCCACTCAGCCAAGACGGGCGCCTGCGATAGGCTGCAGCCACGCGCGTCTGCGCGCCCGCGAGTCTGCATCAGCCGGCCAGGTCGCCGCAGGGCACGCGGACAGGTGAGAGACGCTGACCCCTGACCTCTCTGACCCGGGCTTGTTTAGCGCTCGAGTTGCGTGCGCGAAATAACCTTCCGATCGACCGGCGGGCTGGTGAGGCAGGTTCGCATGCGATGACGTAGTTTGACGTTGAGAGGAGCGACTTTGGGCGGAGTCCGGGCCACAGGAGCGTTAGTTACGTCTCAATGGCGGTCAGAGGTCGGTGCTGATACTGGCTTGACCCTCGGCCAGGCTGGTGTCATGCTGGTGTCAGGCTGGTGTCAGGCTGGTGTCAGGGGCGCAACGCTCAGGGCACGTTACACCAGCGCTGAAGTCGCCAGGCTGGCGTGGAGCGGAGGAGATGACACTCCAGCATGAGGGAACTCGAATGCCAAGAGCCCTGGCCAACTATCTATGCCCCCGCAGCTAAGCCCATGTTTGCCAGGCGTGCCCAGGTGTCGGTGAGAGAGACTTGTGCCGTGGCAGCTGGAGAGCTGGTGCCCCGAGATGCAGGCTGACGGGGTCCAACAAGCATTTACGTTTAAAGCAGCAGCATCTTGGAACGAACGTGTGTTTTGTATGTTCATAGCTTTTGTTATACACCCTGGGAATGTACTTGATTGCATTGTGGTCTAGCGTATTTCATTTTTAGTGAAAAGGGGTGTTGCGCATTTCTGTGGGGCTTCCAACTGAAGTATGCATACTGAAGATCATTCCGTGTAGTTCATGGCCCTGCCCTTCATAAGATCTAAATCCCTCTAGTTTCACACACATTTCACATTTCTTTTTCTAAGCACTTCTGAGCTTCACGCCCGCGAAGATGTGCAAACCATTTCGTGCAGGTTATTTCAAAGTCACCAAGGCATCCATAACACCAGAACCACGTGATAAGAATCCTGCCATTTCATTGGTCATCTGGCGATCAGAGCCAATTAGAATATAATTGCCGGGTCGTTCATACTTGGCGTTCGTGAGCACGATTTCCAGATATAACGACCGTTAATTGGCTCTCAATCAAAGTGATGCAGGGTACGATGGGGCAATTAAAGAATGACGTATAGGGGAGCATATGCACTAAATAGAGAAACCGTGCTGTCTAGAGCAGTATTTTTCGCTGGAATTTGTCCCAATACTTATGAGTGAGCGCATTTCATCATAACTAATGCCTGCTTTAATATCTTCAAATAAAGATTGAAGCCTTGAACGCTGCTTTTCCGCGTCATTAGCCGAGTGCCTCCGCGGACATTCCTGTCTCACTCCTGAGTTCGCGGGTCGCCTACCCCGGGAGCTAACCGTGCATCGATTGCCGGTCACCAGACTGTCAAAATGGGCGTGGCCCGGAAGTCACGCCTCCGTCGGGCCGATTTGATGCGGTTTGTGGGTCGGGTGGCGGACCGGCGACCGGCGCCATGGTGGGGCCGTTACCACTGGCACGCTTGCCATGGGCTGTGGGAGAGTTTTGTGGCCATTGGACAGTTGGCCTATGCACGATTGATCGGAAACCGCCAGGCAAAAGGCGCAGTTGGTCTGCTGTTTCTAGAGAGGAGATAAAAGATCATGTCTTTGAGATACGCTTGTATATGTTCTGGCCACCAGGATCACACTGAGGCATTCCAATAAATGGAATCCTGATGTCTATCGTGTTGCATGAAATGGCAGGTTTCTAAGCGTGATACAAAATTGAGCTTTCCTACTTTTGAACCGACTGATCTACGAGTATGAGCACGGACACGAATGCATGATAAACCGTCTGCCATGTTGGCTGACCAAGGATGATCTGCAAACGTACGGATTATAGATAAAACAGTTTTATTGGCCTTATTCGTCTCAGAATAACCTGGGGATTAAAGAGATGGAGGTGATGCTTGGGCTACGTGGCTTTATCGAATCGAATTTTAAATTTAGACATTGTTGAATTTTGAAAATCTTATTTCGTTTTGATAAAGGCATGTAGTCGAAATATCACATTCATCTCTCCATTTATCTGGTCATTCTCCGACGAATAAGACCATCAAGGCTGTCTCACCTATATGCGTAATGTTCCTGACATATGCACTTCACAACGAATGTACAGATTCGTTCATTTTTCTCCCCGGGGCCGCCTAGACAGAGAACAACAACGAAGTGAGGGTAACACACCATTCTATGTGTTTAGAGCGACGCGCACCATTGAAAAAATGAAAACGGTAAAACGACATCGATGCTGTGTTCATTTTCACCGGCGTGAGCCTTTTCGGTATCTGTACGTCAATCCATCTTCAACCTTATCAAGTCCCGGTCGTCAGCCGCTGAACCGTACAAACGCCACCGCATTGATGCAATAACTCTAAAACTGCGCGTGGCTGCAGCGCGCTCCCGCACGCTCGCCGTGAACATGGATCGATGGCAGAGCCGCCACTGCCATGGCATGACGCCGTTTACGGCTCTGTTATGCTGATTGCCAGGCCTCGCTGGCAGCCCGTTTGCTGACATTTAGTGCGGCGTAAAGCCCCGCTCCCTGTGCGTCCGTCCCCGCACGCCCGTTCACGTCCGCTGTCAGCCGGCGCCGACGTAAATGACGTGCAGGTTCATGCGTGCATGAAGACTTCCGCTGTCAGCCGGCGCCGACGTAAATGACGTGCAGGTTCATGCGTGCATGAAGACTTCCGCTGTCAGCCGGCGCCGACGTAAATGGCGTGCAGGTTCATGCGTACATGAAGACTTCCGCTGCCGGCCGGCGCCGACGTAAATGACTTGCAGGTTCATGCGTACATGAAGACGTTCGCTGCCGGCCGGCGCCGACGTAAATGACGTGCAAGCTCATGCGTGCATGAAGACGTGCGCTGTCAGCCGGCGCCGACGTCAATGACGTGCAAGCTCATGCGTGCATGAAGACGTGCGCTGTCAGCCGGCGCCGACGTCAATGACGTGCGGGTTCATGCGTACATGAACCGAGCTGAACGCCCGCTTGAGGCCAATACCAGTGACGTCACCACCAGCGACGCAGCGCAGCATACCGGAGCTCATCGTCGCATGCGTCCTGTAAACAGGGTTCCTTGCACGGTGGGCAACGGTCGTTTCGCACTTCTTCACACGCGAATGTTATGCACTTTTGTGGCGGATGACGGCGATCAGCGGCGAGATTTCGACACGCCGCGGTCATGTAACTTCCCAGGGAACGGTTCTGGCTGGGCAGCGGTGCGTCCGAGGTGCTGTTGCCGCGGTGGTGCTGGTGTCACTGGAGAGCTGGTGCCCGCCCGGTACCGACACCATGCGTTGGTGCGTGCGCGGAGCTGGGATGGGTGGTGCTTCATGCTCGGTGGTGACATGCGCTCGTTGGTGACGTGTGCTGGGCGGTGAAGTGATGATGGTGCCGGCTGTGACGTAAGCTCGGTAGTGACGTGTTCGACGCGGACAAATGCTCGGTGGTGACTGTACTGAGCGGTAAAGAGAGCTCGGTGGCGGTGGTGACGGCCGTGTCCCGTGCCATATAACAGTGTGCGCTTGGTGGTGACGTGTGTTCAATGGCGATGCGTGCTCGGTCGTGCGATGGTGGTGTAAACGTAGTTGTGATGAGGTGCGATGACGCGCGACTCCCTGAGACGGGGCACGCTCAGACACGTGCTGTGGTGTTGGGGTCGTGAACCATTAGGCAAACGACAGTTTGGCGACAGTCTTAAATGTCTAAACGTGATGTAAAACACACCAAACATGTTATTTTCCGGACCATATCGACATTCTGTTGGAGGGCTTGTCGGATTTGCCGTTGGCTGCGCCCTTACTTCTTGGAAAATGTGATGTTAAAAGGTTGAGAAGAGTCCGGGACGCTGTATTTTTGCTAGTCATTATGCGCTGCCGACATCGTTGGCTGGCCGAGACGTGGCATGTGGCTCTTGTAAGGACCTTTTTACTTTGTCAAGTGCAGGGGGACATGCTCCCACACTCCTCCCCCCCCCCACGCGGTCAAACTGACCCTCTCCCACACACCCCTCGGCCTAACTCCCCCCCCCCCCCCCCCACCACGCAGTCGGCCAGACTCCCTTTACTAGGCGAACCGTCCTCCCACTGGGTCAAACTCCCCCTACAAGGCCAACCCTCCCCCTCTGGCAAACTCGCCCCCCCCCCACGCTCGGCCAAACACCCCCACACAGCCAAACTCCTCCCCCCCCCCCCACTGGCAGCTGTTCTAGCCACGTCATGACCCAGCTATAGCCTCAACACATCGCAACCAATTCGCTACACATATGTTGTCGATCCTCAACTGAACGCAAAAATGAGGTGGCCCACATACGAGAAAAAATAATAATTTTGTTGTGGTTAAGCTCGTTTGAATTTGCGATCAGTGACGTGGATTTGGGATGTTTCCAGCACTAATAAGTTCTTAGGAAAACCCATTGCTACTGCACCTAGCTAGCCCCCATGTGCGGTTTTTATTTCAAATTAGATCTGCCTATTCGTTCGTTCTTCATCGTGTGCAAACGCTGTATTTAACAGCTTGATGACCGAGTAACGGACCCCCCCCCCCCCCCCCTCCGACGCCGGAGCTGTCCATTACTGGGAAGTGCCATGGGCGGAGGGCTCGCTATCCATCACTTGGGTACTTATCCCCAAACGCAATAGTTTCCCTCGGGAATAAAATCCATCATCGGCGACCCCGCTTCCCTGAACTGGGTCGATCGGTGCCCCCGTCAAACTTTGGAAAAATGGATATGGTGCGGCACGGCGACACGAGCGAAGTTAAAATGAGTCAGTCAAGTCGCCGGTGGAAGAGCTCTAGAACAAAGAGCCTGATGCCTTTGTTGGACGTCGAGTTTTATGCAGTCTATGTGCTGGAGCGCCAGCCGGCTTCACGGCTTTGTGCAGACAGCTGTCGGCAATGTCTTACACACATGTGACGACCACCCTGCCTGGGACGCAAACAATAGAAAACCCACGGGAGCACGTCCCCCTCCATCATGAGTCCAGATGCATACACTAGATACGGGGCGATTTCAGGGAAATTTTGTCAAAAATCACAAGATTGGGAGAAAAAACTCGACATTTTGCCCCATGAGGACAATTTTGGTTGCGTGCGTGCACCGTGGTGCTGCAGTGGCTTAACGTAGGTGTCAGAGTAAGTTTTTGGTTTAAGTTTGACTTTTGCATGCTCTTCCTCCACTTACCACTACGCAGGAAGGAGATGCCAACCGTATGGTGATCACCCTGTTGCGGGATTAAGGTTGTGCCAGACAGTGCCTACGGCTGTGGGCTCACGGGCATGGCTGCTTCTCTCCGATGACCCACCCCGAGGTCACGGGCTCACCCTGGGTCACCGCAGCAGTCCTCTGACCAACGGGCTCGATGAAAGGGGAAAGGCCGTTTTATGCATGTGTGCTACAGCGGGCTTTCTCACAGACAGTGTGTGGTCAAGAATGTCTCGCAAGGATAACGAAACTTGATCCCCCACCGCGTACAGTGAGCAGTGTGTGCTCGCAACCAACGCAAGAAACCCTGTCGTCGGGCACCAAAAACAGAGAAACATAGGCACACCACATGTACGCAGTCATGTAGCCCCCGGCATGTTCTGAAGCCACAAGTCTACAAAAAGATCTTACGCTTCGCTTCCCTCTTTTAATCCTCAGACGATCGTGGCTCACGCGCCACCACCGACGGGCACCTCCTCTCCGCGGCGACGGAGCCGGTCGGACCGACGTCGCAGGCCGCTCTGCCAACCACGGAGGATCGATCCACGGACCGCTCATTGGCTTGCTGGCGGCCGTCGGGTCCGGTCACGTCGGACGTCGCCCGCGGGCACCGGCGACCAATCAGGAGTCGGGTCACGCAGCTGCGTCGCGGCGCGACGGGAACATGGAAGGGTGCCGGCGGTGACCTGTCTGTGCGTGAGCCGACGAAGCCGGCGCTGTAGTCGGCTGTTTGCCGGAGAGTGTGACGGAATTTTCGCCGCTGGGAGGTGAGGAGTGTGACAGCACGTGGCCAAAGAGCGACATTTTGACACCCCGTGACCAAGGAGCGGCGTTGTGACACTCCGTGTCCAAGGAGCGGCATTGTGACACTCCGCAACCGGAGTGGCGGATGTGACCTTGACGTGACTAAGGATGCGGGTGTGTTCTTCGCGTGACCGAAAGCGGCTGGACGTTTTCTTCGCGTGATCGACGAGGGGGATGTGACCTTTGTGTAGTCGGAGACCGATGCCTTCGCGTGCCGTCTGGAGGAACGGAATCACCCCGTCGATCTGTGACGCCGCTTCCCTCCTGGTCATTTAAGCCGTTGTGACGCGTACCTTCCCTGCTGACATCAGCGGCACGTCGGCGAGAACGTTTGAGAGCAGTCGTGAAAACGGCAGCGAACGTTTGGGAAACCGGTCTGGCGGCCATAAAGGCGGCCATCGGGGAACCTTCGGCGAACACATCGGGCGGCCCCGGTGAACCAGCCAGAGAACCTCCGGTGAACCAGTCGGAGAATATCCGTTGGAACAGCCGGAGAACCTCCGGTGAACCATCCAGAAAGCCTCCGGTGAGCCAGTCAGAGAACCTCCGGCGAACCAGCCAGAGAACCTCCGGTGGACCAGCCGAAGAACCTCCGGTGAACCAGCCAGAGAACCTCCGGTGAACCAGGGCAGGGAACCCCCGCCTCCGGCGCAGTCATCAGTGAACGCTTGGCCGTGGGACCTTCAGCGACCCACCAGTCACTTACTGGTGACTTTACCTGACGTGCCGTGCGTTCGGCTGTCTCAGCGACCCCTCAGAAGAAGCGAGGAACCTGTCAGAGACCCCGCCCGAACTGCAGCCTCCCGGAGCCAAGCAAAACGCACCGCATTGGCCCCGTGTCAGCCCCCAAAGTGACCACCGCGAACGTCCCTGATTAATTCCCTGGTGTCTCTGCAGTAATTCCTGAAGTGGTTCCCGCACGCGGCGACATCACAAACTCCGCCGGAGAGTCTCCCCGGCGGCGCTCGGTGGCGCCGCCCAGTGTTCACGTCAACGCACCCATGTCTGCGTCGCTGCCGAGGGTCTGTGTGCTGGCGGCTCTGACAGCCTGCGCTGGCGGGATATGGCTGCCCGATGACGTCACTCCGCCGCCGGCGCGGCCGTTCAGCTCCCACGGAGGCGACATCTTGAAAACCGGCGACGTCACTCAGCAGCCACGACAGCCAATCAGCGGCGCTGGCGGCGGCAGGCCGCAGGGCGAGCCTCGCCGAGAGCCTGAGGGTAGCGGCAGGACGTACGACGACGAGGCCGACGTTTCTGATGACATCATATGGGCCATTGAACGTGAGGAGGAACGGGTGAGAAAACTGGCGGAGGATGTGGGTCTGTTAGACGTGGAGCTGGGGTTTGGAGAACCGAAGCAAATCGCCGAAGATGCAGGAGGAGGAGGACGTGCTAAGGACGGTTGGCAGAGCGGGCGCGAGGAAGGCAGGGGTGCGAAGGACTCAGAGCATCGCCCACATATCTTGGAAAAGGTAACGCCCGTCAACGCGGCTGGCGGCAGCTCAAGACTTCGCCCTGCCTCCGACGACGACCTCTTCTTCAGTACTGAGTTGAGTGGCCAGGAGGTTGAAGCTGATGTCAAGGCTGATGCACGGGATAAAGGGTATACCGGGGTCGAAGATATCGCTGTGCGGCCTGTGATGCCCGTTTCTACTGCATCGGCGACGATTTCTAACGCCCGAGGATCCGCACGTTCTCCGACACCAGCTTTATCGACTCTCTCCCCAACCATACGAGTTGCCAGCAGTCCTCAAACCCCGGCAGCCGAGGGTCAAAGTACGTTCAAAGACGTGAGGATCAACTTCCTGGCTGACGGCTTAGATGAAGCCGAGAGCAGGACCAGCTCAGTCCTCCCCACGAGAGCAGCAATAACGAGGACCACCGCCATCACCCTCACTACTGCCGTCACCGCCGGCGCGGCTGAAGACGCGGACGTTGGCCACGTGGTCGAAGCCGACGATGCCGGAGCCGACGACATCAAAGCTCCCGACGCCTTCGACGTCTCCAAAAACTCCGACGGCGCCAGACCCAACGCCGGAGCCGACGTCGCAGCTGACGACGGCGCCGGCACCGCCCCCAGCACCGCCTCCAGCACCGTCATCCCCAGCACTTCGCCGTCGCCTTGCCTGCAGCGGTGCCAAGCGGAGCTGTCGGCCGCCCAGCTGACGGTGGAGCCGTCCCTCCTGCCAGTGCTGCTCGGCGGCAACGCCAGCCTGGAATGCCGCCTGAGCGGGCGCTCAAATCAGAGTGCCGAGCTCGGCTGGGAGTTCCGGCCGGCCGGCGGTGGCACCCCCTGCCCGCTGGGCGACGCCGCAGAGTGTCCGGAGTTCTCGGGCTCGGTGGAAGCACTCGGCAATCAGAGCGACGTCGTGTCCAGGTATGCCGGGACGTCTGGGGGAGCTGTGTCCAGGTATGCTGGGGAGTCTCGGGGAGCTGTGCCCAGGCATGCTGGGGACATTTCGGGGAGCTGTGTCCAGGTATGCTGGGGGCGTCTCGGGGGGCTGCTTCAAGGACTCGCGTCATTCAACGTCAATGGCTGTTTTTCATTTTCAAGCATGTTCATGGAATCCTTTTGCCCAAAATCGGCCTATTGGTGCCGTGATAGCGAGCGGGACGGGTATGGGAATGTCGAAATCAGGAGCGCAGCCAGAGCCTTGGCAAAGGGGGGGGGGGGCATAGGGTTGAGAAAGGGCCTGAGGTGGTGAAAGCTATCCCCCCTTGAAGAAATCGCCGTATATTTTATCAATTTTGCCCCAAATGACTGGAACAGAAGCCAGCAGCGACCGCCGCAAAATGAATTTCGTTTGAATTGTTACGTTAAAAAAAACTGAAGAAATCGGGCCGTGTAAAACGACTGCACGAAAGCAAACACAGGCTCTCGTCCTTTTACATTTTTTTTGGACTGCTTCTAAACTGATAGAACTCAGAAGGTTTGCCAATTTTTTAGTTGGGCTCTACAGAGGTATTGAGGACCCCGTGAACGTAGATTGTAGATAGAAGTGGGCCAAAACTTGTGTTAACATGGCCAACCCATGTTTGCTTGAAGATGTTTAACATGCATTCAGAATCGATTAGTGAGAAAAATTACTGTAGCGTAGTGAACAAGCGCGCTCGCAAATCTAAGCAACAAAAACCTCGACGCCCGACGTTGCAGCCTCTGTGGGCTGCTCGGCGTCGGCCCCGCGGCTAACACTAAGCGCTGGCAAACGAGAGGCGAAAATCTGGTGCTAGAATTGGAGGAGTAAAGGTAGAGTTTTCATTTTTCGTGCTGCTGCAATTGTTAATTCATCCCGAAGATAACCTCAGAATTTTAAGAGCCACGCTCCAGGCTTATCTTTGAACGGTGCGGACTTATCTTGAAAACCTTTCGGAGGCATTGCTTCACAACGGCCGATCCCAAGCGCGGTGTCCAGGGCTCAGGCTGGCACGGAGCCGACTGTTTGGTGTCGGTTTCTGGCCAAAATACCCACAGGTCCCCAATCAATGTAAGAGGCCCTCTGACTGACATTTGAGGCCAGCTCCCTAATATGACACAATATATGACACAATAAGGGCGGGTAGGCCGTCCTCATTGTGTCATATGGCCAGTCTTTCGGGCTCTTCGGCTAACTTAGCCCTCCAATCGGGTTCTTGATCTTTGAACCCCAGGGGCCCTTCGGTTTCTCTTCGAGCTCTGGCTGATATTCCAGGTAACGGCCCGTATGGCCGTGATCACTGTGGGCTCCTGACGGATACAGGGACCCGTACCAGTGTAAATCGCCGTCCCCGGCTTTGCCACTGCTTGGGAAGTGAGTTCTCTGACCGATACCGACACGGAGCCGGCTGTGCGGCACGTGCCCCCCGCCTGCGCCACTGGTTGCAATATTACGGGAATATCCGAACCCTTGAAGGCATGCCAGCGGGGATGATTTGTTATGGTCTGAAAATTGTGCGTTTGGTTAAATTTTCATCGCTAAAACAGTCCATAAAACAGCTTTCAGCCTCCAGTTTCACAACTTCTTGCAGCCGAGCACTGCCGATCTGCCGTGGAGTCGGCCGTTAAGGGCTTTGTTTTTGCCGTTCGACGTCTTGACATCAAGAGTAGGCGCCCGATCGCGCCGCCCCTGGCGAAAACCCCCGCCAACAGCTGCAGGAATTGCGAGCCGTGTTTTTCGCGCCGTCACGCCTTCCGAGGGGATGACATTGATTTCCGATCGGCCGCGCGCAGAATGGCCTGTTTATCTCCGGTCTACTCGGCGCGTTTTTGTCAGATCAGGTCGTCAAGCTCGTCGGCGATCAAAGAACAGTTGACCGCTTCGTCAGCGTCAAAAAATGGCGCGCCGATGATCGGATTCGTGTCAGAGCAATTTGACTCCCTTGGGTGTAAATGGACATTCTGGCTGCAGTTTCGGCGCTCAAGCAAAACTTTCGCAAGCTCGATATTCAGCTCTGTCGTGAATTTTTTCGGATCAAAACGCGGCAACGGACTTTCGATGTCTGTTTGATATGCATTGCCGGCTATCCTGGAGCTATGGGGAGATAATGCCGAAGGACGGTTGCATCATTGGTCACGTCGTTTTCACCGAATGATTCCCACATCCTGGCACGTTTCCTGGTGATTTTCAATGTAGAACATCCTCCTGAAAGATTCTGACAGTGGAAGCGTCCGCCGGCTCTGTCGCAGCAACACTTCCCAGCCACTTGGCCGCATCCCCGACACCGCCTAAATCCGTCCCCAACCACCACCGCGTCTCCGTTCCAGGCTGACGGTCGCCAACATTACAACCGCTCGCAGCGGCCTCTACGTCTGCGAGGCGCGCGTCTTCTGCTGCGGCGCGGCCGCCGCGCCGCCGTCGCCGCTGCGCCGCTCAGTGTCGGCGCGCGTGACCGCGTACACCGCGCCGCGCTACGGCCGTCAGCTGGCGATGACGTCAGCGGTGTGCCTGCTCTTGCTGAGCGGGCTGGCGGTGACGGCGTGGATCAGCCGGCGCCGACGCCGGCGCAAGGGCGGCGCGGCAGGTCAGTGACGTCAGCGGCTCACAGCGACTTTTGAATGGGTGTGTCGCTGGTTTGGGGTGGAACCGTTTGAGATTCAACCGAGGGAGGATTGGCGTTCTGGTCGTATTTCGGGGTTGCGTAAATCTCCGTCATAAGAATGTGGTGAAGCAATCTGTAGCTTGTTCTGAACCGAAGCTTTTCTGCGGGAGACAACCTGCATGCCGAACGCATGTGTCCGCCGGTCGGCGTTTGGAACTCAGGTCCAACAGTGTCGCCCCTGCTCCAGGCCCCATCAACCACTACCGATATCAGCCGGTGCGCTTGCTGCAACTGCCCGACACGGCGGCCGCCCACCGGGACCCAGAACCGGACGGGTACGAGGACGAGGACGAGGAAGAGGACGAGGACGAGCTGTACGAGTCGGTGCGCGGAGCGGGCGACAGCCGTCCTGGCAGCGTGAGAGTGAACCCTCTGGCGGTGCCGTTCGATGCGCCGGACGTGACGTCGCTGCCGCCACCTGACGTGACGTCACCGGCGCGGGAGTTGACGTCACCGGCGCGAGGGGAGCGACCAGTTTGAGTTTCCGCGGCCGCCGTCGGACCTGCTGAAACGATTCAGCACCAGCGACGGCTTCGAGTGATGTCATTGATCCGAAGACGCCTCACACTGACGCCACTGATCCAGAGAAGGACCACAGTGCCGCCATTATTCCAACAACGGCTCCGAGTCACGTCATTGGTCCAGTAATGGCTTTGAGTGACGTCACTGGCCTGTCGACAATGTCGGATGACATTACCTGTTCAGCAACGGTCTATTGGGATGTCACCGATCCAGCGACGGCTTTGAGTGACGTCACTGATGCACAAAAAAATCTAGTGACATCACCGGCCTAGCATCAGCGTCAAGCACCACACTGGCCCAAGCTGGCCCTGCTTGTATGGAAGGTCTGACACGAGGTCACTGGATCACGGCCGGCCCTGATTATGAGGGACGGGTGGGCGCTGAGCGGCACCGACACGCCTGACTCTTGTGGAACGAACGGAAGTTGCCGACAGCTAGTGTCTGCTCATCTGGCGCTCCTACCTACAGCTGTGAGTGTCGGAAGGCAGCCAAGATCGCCACGCACTTACGTACCGTGTGTAGAGCTATCGTGTTTTCAGTCAAAATCACGATTTCTGTGCGTTTCGTGCAGACTGACGCCACGCGGTTGGCTGGTCGTGAACTGCGACGGGACGATGACATCACATGTGCTCGAAGAGAAATTGACGGCAGTAAACGCGCTGCGTGGAAGGATACAATAGGGGAGTGCCGTTGTCGCAGTCCCCACATATCCCGTGTGTCGAGCGATGCGACGCTGGCGTGATGGATGGTTCGCTTCAAGCGCTTGTTGTTTCACAATAGGTGCCTAGAGCCAGGAGCCAGGACATTACCGTACCCTTAGATGCCTATTGTTATGGCCGAGTGTGCTGTCGTTAAAAGTCAGTGGCGAGGCCAGAGGTGGATGCAATCATAATGTCTTGCGCAACAGCTGCACTGGAAAGAAATCGGCGTCAAATCGCAATTGGTTTGCTGCTCTCTGAAAGAGAACATAAACATATGTACTGGTGCTGAGTGCTGCGCGCCTTACAGTGTCGCTCACCGCTCTATCTGAATGCGATGTTAAACAATGCCATAGTCCGTCCCACGTGACCAGCAACCCTCAATGTCATAGGCACGTGCCATATAGCGCTCGGGACGTTTGTGCACCGGCTTAGGCTCGCTTTTGCGCAGCTTAGAACGCAATGCTTCCAGGTTGTGGCTTCCCCATTTAGTGTGAATAAATCGAAACGGTGATGTCGTCCCAACCTTTGCCTGAATTTGCCCGCAGCAGCGATGTCGATGTCGATGATGTCGATGTCGATGTCATCCGATGTCGGATGTCTTTCTGCACATGACCAGGAATGCAGCCAGACTGTCGTTCGCTCTTGAACGCCGCCGGGGCAAGCAGCAGATCACAATCTCGAGTCGAAACGAGCACAGCTCATGCTGTTGGGTGGCAGCAGACATAGAGCAGCGAAAAGTACACAGTGGTGTAGCTATTTCCATAGCGCGATAAAGGCTGGGAGGAAAAGACATCATTAGTGCTGGCTCGAAAATAACGCTGATCTTTGCACATGTACAGCGGGCAGCGGGCTAGTTTTAGATGCACTCGAGTAGCTTATCGATAATTGAACTATCTGCCTGGACCATATGCGAAAACTTATACTTAATGTAGAAGTCGCATTAAACAATTTTTGAAAGAATTTTGATGCACCGGAACACTCGCTCTCCAGTGTCGCTGATCGCATCTCTCCATGTCAAAAGATCCCTGTCAAAAGACACAACCGCTTCAACGCCACCGTCCAGGGACTGTTCCGATGGATGCTGACCGGAGGTGGGACGTGGCGCTCTATCCCCGTATTGTTCCGACGGCTCTCCCGGTGGTCTCTAGCTGTCTGCAGCGTCTTATCGATGCCATTCCGTTCTACCCGTGGCATGGCCGGTCAGTCTTCGGCGCCACCGGGGAGCCCAGTCCTCGACACATGTGGAGTCAACAGCGCGAGGAAGGAGGAAACAGCAAGAGGAAGCAGCGGGACGCAGGACGCGGTCAGAGTAGCTGGTGCGTACGACCCATCCTCATCACCAGGGAAGCCGGTATATGTTGATATTCTTGCAGAAATATACGACACGCTCAGCAGCTCAGACCAAATGGCGTCGCCTTCCTCGCACCCTTGTAGGAAAGACGGGCACCGCGGAGAATCGAACCTCGTACTATTAAGAGTTGATTCCCCACGCTAAGCAGTGCTTCTTGCGTGAACCCTGACCCCTGCCATCCGACCGTGAAATTACAGGCGAGCGAGAGAATTTGTATGTTTTTAGTTGCCCTGCCTGTCGGGATCCATTTCATTTGTAGTGAAAGGAGAAAGCATTCGGGTCTAAGGGGCAAGCGACGTGCACCCTTGGCTGCCCCCTTGCTCTTCCCCACATACCGCTATAGCGGTGCCTGGCTTATCCCATCAACAACCCTGCAAACAGTAGTAATCTCTTCCTGATAAGTACTATGCGTGATAAGTACTAGCGCCACGGAGGAGCCACCATGCCCTTAGCCATGACCATGCCTCGTGTGACGTCAAAACATGCCACCGTATCATATCCAGGGGTGGGGCCGGACTGTCGTTTGAGTGGGGGAGGGAGGCAAGCCGTCCTCGTAGAATGTTATTTAAAACACCTAATGCCTCTCACTCGCACATCCAGACGTGATAATATTATATATTATTTATATATATATATATATATAATATATATATATATGGATATATATATATTTATATATTTATATATTATACCGCCATCATCCTTGTTTTCTTTCTCTCTTTCCCTTTTTCCTTCTCTCTCTCTCTCTCTCTCTCTCTTTCCTCTCTCTCTCTCCTCTCTCTCTCTCTATCTCTCTTTTTTCTCTCTCTCTCTCTCTCTCTCTCTCTCTCTTTCTCTTATCTCTCTCTTCCTTTTCTTTCTCTCTCTCTCTCTCTCTCTCTCATCTCTCTCTCTCTCTCTCTCTACTCTGTTTTTCTTGTGGACACTACTGGGTGTGACTTAGCCTCTGTCGCGTGTCGCGGCGGACGGTTATGCAGGGAAGGGAGGACAACCTGTAACCGGAAGCCTGGGTGTAATCATGATGTTAACGGGTCACTGGGGGACCCAGTCAACAGGATAGCGGGCTGAGTCACGTCTCGAAATATCAATGTGATAACGGGTTAGCCATTCACCAACGATGAACCGCTCATGTTAGAACCGCAGCCGTCGTAAGCAGTGGCGCAGGCAAAGGGGGGGGGGGGGGAAGTACGGGGCGCACGTACGCCCTTAGGATCCGAGTGGCCTTTCGGGCTCCTCGGAACGTGCGATTAAAGGTCCGGTGGGGGGTGGGCGAGGGCCCGAAAGGCCAGCCGGAGGTCGCATTCAGGGGTCTGGGGGGCAGGGCCGTGTACTCCAATGCCGTCCGCAGGAGAGTGGATCGCCGGTCGCCGGTTCGACGGCGCATGCGCACAACCTGTCGCACCTGCTGACCGTGCGTGACCAGCTGGACGGGCACGTGGTTCGTGGGGTGACCGAGACCATCCGGCACAGCCTACCAGCCCGCCTGTCCCGTCTGATCCGCCGCCGGCGAGGTCGCCGGGCCGGCGCCTGCACCCGGCGGCCGATTCGGGTCGTGTGCGGGGCCGATCGGTGCCGCTCTGCTCGCGCTGCTGGTGTAGTACACCGGCCACAGACGCTAGTCCATCCGGCCAGGCGGACCGTGCCGCAGACTCAGCGGGAGTGCGCGGCTGTGGCGGGCGCGGCTGAGCCCGCGAGTCGTTACCACTGCAATATTGGTCACAGCAATGCCCAGTCGCTGACACGCCGACGAAGTCAACCAGTTACTGAAAAAACACCACATGGACAAACTGCGTGTGTCTGAGGCATGGCTCAAGCCTGAGGTACTTGACAGGGTGCTGATATTCCCGGGATTCAGCATACTGCGGCATGACCGCGGTGTCGCCCGGCTCACAGCAGCCCAGCAGACCCAGCAGTGCGGAGGTGGAGTCACCATACTGGTCGTGGACTCCCTCCACGCAACGGAGCTTGACGTGGGCGGTGCCGATCCCATGGTGGAATCCCTGTGATTCTCGGTGAACGGCCCCGGCCTCCGCACCGTGGTGATGGGTGCCATCTACCGACCGCCGGGGGACCAACGTCCTAATGCCTGAAGAGCGTTGGAGACGACCTACAGACCGCCGTCTCCATAGGAAAACCGGTTTTCGCAGTGGGAGACTTCACCATAAACCTTCTCAAACCGGACCATCACGGTGCACGCTGTATTCGGACCATCCTGAGAGACGTGAGTCTCGAAGAGCTGGTTGTCAAGCCATCCACCTTCATCCGACACCAACACTGCTAGACATGATCGTCAACAACGTGACCGGTCTCCGGGACTCAGCCGAGGTTCTCCCCGAGCCTGTGGCGGACCACCAATGGATGCTACTCCGCTCCCCCGTCCCCAGACAGCGCCGGCGGCCAGTCACCACCACCGCGCGACCGTGGAAACGCGTCGACTGGGACGCGTCCAACCTGAGTCTGCTGCTCGCCGATAGGGAGCCGCTCTACGCCGCTGGCACCGCCGACGACAAGGTGGTCGTATTTAAGGAAGTGTGAAGCATCGCAGTCGACGCTCACTGTCCCGACCACCATCGTGACGTCACGCCGGCCCGGCCGTCCGTGGCCTGCGTGGAGATACCGAAGCCTCCGCAGCCATGGAGGAGCGCGACTGCGCCCGCGAGACCTGGGAGCGCTGTCGTACCACAGAAGCGCGCCGCGTGTACCAGCGGTACCTCAACAGAGTGAAGGGACTGATCACTCTCACGCGACGCTCCTACCTGTGCAGTGGTCTGTTGACAGGGCGGCGAGATTTCTGAACCCGCCTCAAGCAATTTGGACTGCAGCCAGCGAGAGGGCTGCACGGTGTCCTCCTGAGCAAGCCAGAATGGTGCGGGGTGTGCTCGGAGTGGTACCGGGATTACCTGACCGGTCGAAAACAGGGTGGTTAGAGGTAGCTCGGTTACCTTACCTCTATTTCACGGGGTGGCCAGGGATCCCTTGTCGGCCCAATCCTGTTCCTCATCTTCATCAACAACCTATCCAGCTTCCTAACCCACGGCCGGCCTACTATCCTACGCTGATGACACCCAACTCCTGGACTCCGCTACCCCCGATGTCGTCGGCCTGTCCAACCTGAAAGCCCGTGTCGAGGAGTGTATTCGGCGCCTTAAAAGCTGGTTTCAGTTAAAAGCCTTAAAATGAACCCCACAAAGACAGACTTCATGCTGGTCGGCACCAAACCCTCTATCACAAAGACCGGCAACTTCCACATTACCATCTCCGGTGCAAACATTCATCTATCATCTTCAGTGGAGGTACTGCGTGCACTCCTCGGCCACCACCACACCTGGGAACCCCACATTTCCCCTCTCGTTCGGCGCTGTAATGCAATCTTCGTATCTCTGTTCAAAATCCGACACCACTTCACTCCTGAGGTTTTGAAGCGCCTTGTCCAAATCCACGCCTTCCCCACATCCTCCACTGCCTATTCATCTGGGGTGGAGTGACCGAGCGTCACCTAGACCAGGTAATTCGCAGCCAGGCTTGTGAGTAGTCAGCGTCGGCGATCACATTTCACCCGTTCTGGAGGCGCTCGGCTGTTGCAGCGTCGCTGATCTTGTTCACCACCGGGACTGCCTGAAAGCGTACAGTGCACTGCACGTCCCCGAATCTCCCAGCGCACTGTGTGCTCTATTCGTGAGGCGCGCTGAGTGTTCCCAACACCAAACTTGGGCTGTTTCGGGCGATGTCGGCTCGCTACGTCTACCACGCGTCCGACTGAGCGCCATCCAGCGGAGTTTTCCGAACCATGCTGCCGCCGGGTGGAATCGGCTGCCTGCGTCGGCCGTCCGCGCCCCCTTGCGTCAGGCATTCTTGACTGGCGCGCGAGGCATTCTTGACAATCGCTGACTCATTGACTGAAACTGTGTATCGTTGTCTAATCGCTGACTCATGCGTAGGTGTGTATATCTGCACTGTGTGTGGGCTCTTTTTTCTCGCCCGTTTAGGCGCAGAACGACCACCACGTGGATACGCCCTAAATAAAATAACTGTAACTATAACTGCAACTGCCAGCCAGATAACCCTGCTGCTGATCAGAGCTCCTGAGTCGATAAGGTCCTTTATGTCGATCAAACACCACCAGTAACTCATAGTCGGCTCGGTGACGGCGTGAGCCTGAGGGTCCATTTCCCAGGCAGAAAGACGGAGCCAGCGATTTACAATTTTCAGGGCCGCAGCGTCTGTCACCGCCCAACAGCGCCTAGCGGAGCCTTGTGTTGGCTCCGGGGCTCCGAGGCTCCGGGGCTCCGAGTAGGCCAGAGGCAGTGTTCGAGGAGGCCTTAGGAGTCTAGAGGACCTATCGGGTCCGACGATCATTGACCCGATTGGAGGGTCTGAAGTCTATATCAGATAGGCCCTCGAGAAGAGCGCAAGACACACATTCAAGGGAGAAATACCCAACATCTAGTTTGGAGGGCGCCGAAAGATCGAGCGTATCCAAACAGGCGATCAGATGACTCCCGACAGGAGCGCAGGGCCCTGCATTCAAATAATCAATGTGCAGGGCCCGAAACAATCCAGTGTGCCCAAACAGGCTAACAAATGGGCCCCGAAAAGTGTGTAAGGCCCTCCATTCAACCACGGGTGTAAGAACAGGGGGGCCAGGGGCCATGCCCCCTCCCACTTTTCAAGGTTGGCGGACAGCAGTGTGAGCTGTCCCCTCCCCCACTTTTCAGATTAAGGTTGTGTTTAGCTTACTTTTTCACTACATTAAACATGCATTGTGGTTTACATATTTTACCAGCCATCTTTCTCAAGATGTGTAATGTTTTTCGTTTGCTCATTAGCCATCGCTTAGTGTCACAGCCATAAGGCCGACGCCAAGCGGCCCATGGAGACTGCAACACCGGGCGTCGAGGTTGTTGTTGCTATGACTTGCGAACGTGCATGTTCAAAGCCATATTACGCAGTTTTCTATCGGTAATAAATTTTGACTGAATCCTGGAAATTTGAAGATAAACATGGATTAGCCATGTTGATACAAATTTGGGGCCCCTCTCATCTACAATCTACGTTCAAGGAGTCCTCAATATCTCTGAAGAACACAGGAAAACATGAAACTGTGGTCTATGCGACAATTATTTGACCACCTGCGGCGATCAGGGATGTCGTTGCGTCATTGAGGTTCCTGTGCTGATCCGGGGCCTACTACGCGAGTCGGAAGGCCTCCCGTGTCAGGGAGGGGAGCAATGTGATATGATATATCCTTCCCTAGGGTCCCGCATCGACGAGGAGATCCCGTCCCGTGTCGCTTGAATGACAGCCAGAACACACTTCGCGATGGGACGGAGTGGCCCTTCAGCCCCTGACCAAAACCGGTAATGTGCCCCTGGTGTCCTACTCAGGGGGCCCCTTACCCGGAAGGAAATAAGGGGTGGGACCATTACTGTTCAGTGGAGTGATGGTCTCATTATGGTTGAATTAGAGTGAGTCAAAATTAATTTTGAAAAACAAACAAGGCCATCCCGTGGTTGCCTGATAACGATAATTTTTTGCAGAGTGGATTAGTGAAACAAATAACATCAAAAGTTTGAACATGCCGGCCCACAGCCTCGAGAGCAAGGCCATTAATGACCTGGGCTGCAGCCTCCGCAAAACTGAACGGCGGCGGCCACTGCAAGTGCCACCAGGCGGGCGCCGTGTAAATCTGTCTCCTGGGCAAATTGATAATTACGGAGACATGAAAAATAGAGACTCTACCTTTACTTTTCCAGTTCCACCAACAGATACCACCCCCACTGCGCAGTGTTTCAAGGGGTAATCTGTTCTTATCATCAGTCTAAAAATCTCGCAAGTGAAATATGAGCCCAAACTGCTTCTAAATGTAAGATTTGATGTCATGAAGCGTTCAAAGGTGCTGCTTTCAGAAGCGTCATCATTTTCGTCCACCCGTTAGCCTCGCCTCAATATTAGCTGCTGGACCAACGCTGCGACACCCACGAAGACTGCAACGCCTGGAGTGAGGCTTGTTTCTAAGATTTTCGGGTGCGCATGCTCAAAATTTCGTCACGTAACTTGTATCACTAATCGGTTAATGTGTTTAAAGGTAATTATTTCAAAAGTTTCACCATTTTCGTCCACCGGTGAGCTAAGGCTAAAAGTTAGCCGCCGGACTAAGGGTACACGGACTATGGAGACATGCAACGCCCGGTATTTTGGTTTTTGTTAAGATTCGCGTGCGCACATGTTGAAAAACCACGTTACACAAATTGTATCACTAATTGATTCTGACTGAATGGTGAGAACTTCCAGACAAACATGGCTTAGCCATGTTAATACACATTGTTGACCACTCGATCTGCGAAACAATTTTCATCTTCAAATTTTGATCAAACGTAACGATTTGATTTACCTTCGCGATGTCTGTAGAACCCAGATACAAAATTCCGGCAAAGCTTCTGAATTTTATCGGTTTGGGAAGTCGTCTACGTTGGATGATGGGCAGTGAAATGTCTGTTGGGCCAATTCATACATAAAGTAGGCAGTTTCCCCGGGGGCTATTTTTCTGCTGTGGTGTGGTGTGAGGGAGAATAATTCGAGTACCGTTGCATGTGTCTAACAAATGTTTCACACACCAATTGGTTGTAATTCTGATCCAGAAATATGCAACAAAGCAGCCATGCAATCAGTTCAGTCAGTCAAGAAGGGGTACCTGGGCCAGGGCAGTGGCCGCCGACGGCGGACGGGAGCGGGGCGCAGATAAGAAACATATGACAGACGGGCCTTCATCACGTGGCTTGGTGTTTAAAAGAGAATCTCCAGTTTTACGGTTTTTGTCACCTTGTTTTCAGCAAATTCAAGCTTCCGAATTTGTTTCCGCCTAAAATATGGCGACAAGTCTCATCTTTTGAAAAGAAGCCAGCGAAAGCAAGGCGCATGAAAAATCTGTCGCAGAGTGAGCCATCGATCCACTTTCGAAATTCTCACCAGCCTGTGTCCAGGCCGTATTTTGGCATCTACCCTGTGGAGGCATATGCCTACTTAATGACCCAAAATGCCTACCCGCTTGTGGCATTCCGCCTCCTCAGGAAAGACAATGTTAAAATGGAGGAATAATCTTGGGGAACTGGATAGCCTTATTTGCAGAATGACATAGATGAGTCGAATGGGCAAGATTGTGCACCAGTAAGAAACAGCTTTACATGCATATCTAGCATAGCAGCCATGACATTTGAATAAAGAGCGTCCATCTCTACCCCCCCCCCCCCCCCCCGGATCATCGGGCTTGCTTTCCAGAAAAGTTCCTGAAGTACACCCCTAGCTTGCCCCCCCCCACTTTTTGAAACGTTCCTACGTCTATGCATTCAACCATAAGGTACCCAAGATCCAATTTGGAGAGCCCCGATAGGCCGAGTGTGCCCAAACAGGTTAAAAGATGGCCCCCTGGCAAAATCGTACGGCTCTAAGCAAGCGACAGAGAACTGGAAGGGCCCTAGACCACTGTAAAGGGCCTATCAGCATATCGCGAGTGTGTCCGTGGGTTAACTGTGACCGACGTGAAGGGTCCCCTGACCAGCCTGAAATACCCGGGCAGGTAAACATATGCGGCCCCCGGATATAGCGTACAGAGCCTTTCGGGCGAATGAGAAGAATCCGTGAAAGGCACCTGATTGACAAAGAGTGCCTTGGCACGCTAACAGGAAGGGCTCAGCAACGGTGCAAGGTCCTCCGAACAAAGCAAATGCAAAGAAATCAGGGGCAACGTAGAAGACCTTTAACCATCAGGTTGATCCCGCAAGAGGACATGTAGAGCCCCCAGAAGCAGCATAGGGCCTCTGGACAGCGAAAGCATTCTTAAGACCTCCCAACCTCTCAATCAGTGGAGAATAATTTTGGTCCACACATGAGTCCTTCGCTTTCACTCGCAACTATTATTGGTCGCCTGGAAGCCCGAAGACGCCCGATTTTGTTGCGTCTTGTCTTAAAAACTGCACCTTTTCGGTCAGTTTTGGGCTTCTTCAGAGCCTAAGGGCGCCTTGGGTGCCCAAGGGAGGGGGTATGGTCCCATGGACCCCCCTGTGGATCCGCCCTTGCACAAATTGCTCGCCTGCTGTTATATTTCATTTACATTCGCAGGGTCCTTGATATCTCTGTGCAACCCAGATCAAAATTCTGATAAAGGTTCTGCGTTCTATCGATTGAAGAAGAGTCAACAGAACCATTGTAAAATGAAAAGCGTCGGCGGCTTATTTCATGCAGTCGTTTCATTTAAATATCTAAATTCTGTATATTTAAATCTGCATATATATATATATATATATATATATATATATGTATATACCATATATGCACCATATATGGAGGAAAACATGTCCTTATAAACAAATAGACCAAACCTGGCGATTCTCGGGGGGGGGGGGCTCTCTCTATCAGGGGGCTTTTGTCCTACCTTTGTCAGCCCTGTATCACCCCTTTGCCAAGACTCTAGCTGTGCTCCTGGCCGTAAGCTGCGGGTGCACGACACGCGTTGACTGCTGACACAGCTGACTGCCCCAACAGTACCAAACCAAGAAACATACGCAATTAACCGTTGAAACATGACGTAGCATGCACATAACAGCGTACGTCCTACCGTTTTCGGGTGCCAAATCATAGTTTCACGTTCTTTGGGGGAGGTACGGCCTCAAGTACCCCCTCCCCCTTTAGATCCGTCCTTGATCATCTCAAAGGCGTTATCGCTTCGTCATGCGGCGAGGAAAGCGCGACGGGCGCTGAGCGGGCGATAGTCGACTGACATGTCTACGCAATTTAGTAGAAACGAGTTTGTCTGCTGTTGTTGGCGCGTTTCGGAGTCGCGCCAGCGCCATTATCGAATCAAATTTCCCGAGTTCCGCGGTCCTCCGGCGATTTTGGGGGGCTTGAGGGGGTGCTGCGATTTTAGTGAGTAGTGAGTTTGTTATGATTGCCTCTGTGTTGCAGCCGTTTTTTTTGTGCTTTTTTTCATGTCATCCGCGGAACGGAGAACTGTGATACTTGTGACGGTGCTCTCTTCGCATGTTAACTAAGGCTGCGTGCAGGCCGTGTTGATTGTTGGTTATTAGACGCGATATGAAAATATTTTACATATTTTGAAAAAAATATCATCAAAATGGTAGGATGGTCTGTTAAAAAGGTGCTGCATGTGCCTATTTTGTTATGGTGGTGCTTGTCCTGTTTATTTGCCAGGCTTGTCGATACATTGGTCTCCATGATGGTATCAAACATGCACTTCTTATACCCAGCTTCAAGACAAATGTTCATACAAAAGTAAATCTGACTATTGTGTCTGTGAATTGTTGTCAAGAGCCACCAAACTGAACCCTGCATTGCAATTTGTATCTTGGTTGCATGTGTTGAGTCAGCACAATGTCTTGTGAGAGCTGATCAAAAATTTTGTTTGGAATAGTTGATCGGCATTTTTTATGTGCAGTCAGTGCTAGTATTCCATGATTGCAGAAAGTGCTCTTTACTCACCCCACTGTCATCATCTTGCTGACTTACCTCATCTTGTGCTGTGACTGTGTGGTGTGTTACAGGTTTATGCTCTTGGTCATTTTTTATATTTTTCATGGCTTGTTTGGTATTTTGGGCTACAGGTGTAGCTTGCATGTGCCAGATATTTATATCAGTCAATGTAGATTATAATGCTTTGCCATCAGTCAATTCATGTGACCTCATGATGTTGACAAAGGATATGACACTGCCTACTCTGGATGTTCATATGTTTTTGTGTTGTTGTATGCATTTCACACAGTTGTATCATTTGGCAGTTCAGCTATGGTAAACTAGGATCCGAATATGGGGTTCTATAATTTATATTGAGGGTTTAATCTGCATCACTCAAGTCCTAAAATTTGGGGTATATGTTATTTCCTATCCCCTGACCCTTCTCTTGGCTCTTAGTTTGCATGCTCTAAATACTATGCCAGATTGCATGTGGTATCATGTGCTTGAAAATTTAACTAATTGGCTTCAGTTTAATGTCTTGAAGTCCTGTTATTTCAATTTGCCTGGCTTACTTAGGTTTAGTGTCAAACAATTTCATTTAATCAAGTAGTTGCAACTAGCTGGAAGTATAGCTGTGGGAGGGGGGGGGGGCTCCTAAGCATAAGTGTATTACCTAAAACCTTCCACCAAAATGTCTTAAAATGTCATTTTCTGTGACATGAGTATAAGCAAAATCAAACATGGGCAAGTCTGTGTCATCAAATTGCTGGACATGCCATGAGCCCATAACACAATGAACTTGGTAGGGGGCCCAGCCTACTGATTATGAGTGCTTAGTTACCATAGGCTTAGTGTTGATAGATTGTCTGGAAGTTTGGGAGACAGGAAATCAGCTCTTAGTTGCCAGCCACAAAAGGTCATAGAGGAATGGGGCTAGAGATGTTTTGCTATCACAAAAACAGCATTGATGCTTTAAGGAAATTATGAAATGCTTATACCTAACACAGGGTTAGCTTAGCTGTGTATGTAAAATATTTATGTACAACCATGCAGGGAAAGCTGTTAGTTCACACATGGCTACCTAGATCTTTGTTGCTGTGATAGGCTGTGTGAAGCACTGTGATGCCAAATAACCTAAGATGCTGCACACTTTATTAAACCTGAAATGCCATTCTCAACAAATAAGTCACTGCCTCATCATTTGCCCACCAGATTACCAGCACAAACAACCAAACAACTGTCTCAGCAAAGGATGAAAAAGGGAGGAAATTACATTTCAGATTGCACTTGCTTGTTGGGTGACCAGAGCCTCATTTCCCCAGCACTGCCTGGCATCGCGGCTGAGCTCGCAGCAAGCGATGGAGGCGATGGACTTTGATCCAGAGCAGCTGCTGACCAGCACCGGCTCTGACCCCATGCTGGGCAAGATGGCGGACGCGGCGCCGGTCGCCAGCGGCGTCGAGCAGCCGCAGGCCGCGCCCTCCGGTACGCCCCCTGCTCTGCTGAAGGGGGGAATACCAACGATGGGGCTGGCGTCCATCACGGACTGCTGGGCAGTGGCTGTGGCTGGGAGCTGTGGTGAAGTGGATGGGACTTATGCAGAGACTGTGTCTGCCAGATCTGTTTGGTCGTGGGTCTTTGGGGTACTGGGTGATCAGTGTGTATCAGCAAATGAGTGGACTACATGGCCAGCATATCAACCGACAGGCGATGTGTCACACTAGCTTGCTTCCCTTGCAATAAGCACCACCTGAGCATCAATTAACCACCACCTGATCATCACCTGACCAACAACAGCCATTCAATTGCTTAATAGCTATGTGATCAAAAGACCAGCATCTGACCAGCCAGACTACCAGCAAGCAACACTGCTATGACCTGACCACCCTGTGGCCCACCTGACCACCCTATGCCCCCACCTGACCACCCTGTGCTCCACCCGACCACCCTGTGCTCCACCCGACCACCCTGTGGCCCACCCGGCCACCCTATGCTCCACTCGACCACCCTATGGCCCACCTGACCACCTGGTGCCCCATACGACGACTCTGTGCCCCACCCCACCATCCCATGCCACCGCCTGACCCTGTCCCCTCCATCGCCGCAGGCTCGTTCATCGTGCTGAAGAACGCCGCCTCGCCCGGCGTGTCGGGCAAGGTGACCCAGCTGGGCAACATCAGCGTGTCGAGCCTGGCGCCGGGCCAGGGCTCGCGGGCCGCCTCCAGCCGACTGACGGCGGTAATGGGGCGGGCGGCCGGCTCGGCGCCGGGCGCCCTCACCAAGTTCATCATCTCGCCTTCGCAGCAGGTGCGGCTGCTGGGGAGATGGAGAGAGGAGGAGGGGAGAGGGCTCAGGGCAGGAAGGAGGACTCAGGATAGAGAGGACTCAGGGGAGGAGAGAGGACTCGGGAAGGAGAGAGGACGCAGGGGAAGAGAGGACTTGGGGATGAGGTAGGACTCAGTGGAGGAGAGAGGACTCAGGGGAAGAGAGGACTCAGGGTTGGAGAGGGGATTCGGGGGAGGAAAGATAACTCAAGGAAAGGAAAGGGGCTCAGAGGAGGAGGAAGGGGACTTGGAAATGAGGAAGAGGAGTAGGCTTGTGCAGAGAGAGAGAGACTACTTGAGGAAACTTGGGATAGGAGAGAGGAGAACTTGGCAGAGGAAGAGGCGAAGGCTTTGAGAGGAAAAGGCAAGGGGTTGAGGATAGTGAGATATGAGGATAAGGGATAAAAAGATGACAGTAAGACCAAGAGTGGTGAACTGATTGATGAGGTTGTGTCTATCATGAGCTGTTATAGACGCTGTTAGATATCAAGGATATACAATCTGATATATTCATCTACGGACGACCAGGTAGTGTTCATGTAATTGAACGTCTTCTGACTTTTGAGTGCCGCGTCCGCGTGTTTCCATGTCATGGCCGCCGTCTTCTTCAGTGCTGTGGGAGGCCGCACGAGTCGTCTTGCCTGCCCGTCCGTTGTCCAGGGGACGACCGTCGTCCCCTGTTCCGTCTACTGTGGGAGGCCGCACGAGTCGTCTTGCCTGCCCGTCCGTTGTCCAGGGGACGGCCGTCGTCCCCTGGTCCGTGTGCTGGCGCTCGCCGCCTGACCACCGTGCCCTCTGTCCCGGCAGGGAAGCGCCGGCGTCCCGGCACCGGTGGCGCCCCCGGGCGCCGGCCAGCCGGTGCGGCTGCTGGGCGGCGGCGGCGGCGGCGGGGTGCGGCTGCTGGACGCGCAGCAGTACCGGACGGTGGCGGGCGAGCCGGCCGCCCAGGCCAGCCCCACCAAAACCATCACCCTCACGTCGGCACAGGCCCAGCAGATGGGACTCATCAGTCCGAAGAAGGTGAGGAGGAGAGGGGGTGGGAGGGGAGGGGAGGGAAGGGAGGGGCATGCAGCTGTGGTAGTTCTAAGGGCGGGCGGGGTTTGTGAATTAGGCCGGTGGATGAGCGCGTTCTCGTTCTCCATGAGCCATCGGCCCTGCCTTAGATCCCAGCAAACCACAGCTGGAAGTGAACTTGAAGCTGAACTGAAAGTCCATGATGTTCGTCGCGATAGTTTGGGGTAAAGTCTAAACAAGCTATGGTAAGATGTTTTTCTAGGTTCACCCGTCCAGTGCTGGTAAAGAGAGGTAAACAGAGATCTCGCGAAGCAGTGACTCATTCGGAGCGTAAACCGGGGACGGAGTCGAAAATAGGGCGAGTCCACATCTGCATTCGCTGGCAGTAGTCTTTGCGCCACATCTGTCGGCCCCGCCTGCAAAAGCTCAGCATGCTGTCTCTGCTTAGCACCGCGGGCGTATTGAGTACGTGTTTGCATTGCATTTGTTGCATGTGAGTGTGTCCGTTTGTCGCTTGTGAATATGTCCTGTCTGTGGCTTGTGAGTGTGTCCTGTTCGTCGCTTGTGAGTGCGTCCTGTTTGTCGCTTGGTAGTGTGCCCTGTTGGTCGCTTGCGAGTGCGTCCTGTTTGTCGCTTGTGAATGTGCCTTGTTTTTCGCATGTGGGTGGGTGCTATTTTCGCTTCTGAGTGTGTCTTGTTTATCGTTTGTGCGTGTGTCCGGTTTGTCGCTTGTGGATGTGTCCCGTTCTTCGATTGTGTGTCTTGCTGGATGCTTGTGGGTGCCTTTTGTTTGCCGCTTGTGATTGCGTCCTGTTTGTCGCCTGTGGATGCCTCCTGTTTGTCGCTTGTGAGTGCGTCTCGTTTGCCGCTTCGCCCATGACGTAGCCGGCTCCGCGTGACGTGGCCGGCTCCCCATGACGTGGCCGGCTCCCCGTGACGTGGCCGGCTTCTCTGATGACGTGGCCGGCTCCCCGTGACGTAGCCGGCTGCCGTGACGTGGCCGGATCCGCGTGACGTGGCCGGCTCCCCGTGACGTGGCCGACTCCCCGTGACGTGGCCGGCTGCCGTGACGTGGCCGGCTCCGCGTGACGTGGCCGGCTCCGCGTGACGTGGCCGGCTGCCGTGACGTGGCCGGCTCCGCGTGACGTGGCCGGTTCCCCGTGACGTGGCCGGCTCCCGTGACGTGGCCGGCTGCCCGTGACGTGGCCGGCTGCCCGTGACGTGGCCGGCTCCCGTGACGTGGCCGGCTCCCCGCGACGTGCCCGGCTCCCCGTGCCGTGGCCGGCTCCCTGTGACGTGGCCGGCTGCCCGTGACGTGGCCGGCTCCCCGCGACGTGCCCGGCTCCCCGTGCCGTGGCCGGCTCCCCGTGACGTGGCCGGCTCCGCGTGCCGTCAGGGCCCCGGCTTCGACGGCGTGCGGCCGTCGGGCAGTCCCCACCGGATCGTCATCAAGTCCTCACAGTCGCTGCAGAGCAAAACGGTACGCGGCGTGGCCCGAGACGCGACGCGGCTGTGGGCTGGGCCGCCCCCCGTGGAAAGGCCGCCGCCAATGCGTCCGTGCCTCGCTGCCGGACAAGACGCGAGGAGCGTGAGAGAACTGGGTTCTGGAGGTGCGGTTGTATACCGACCGGTCATGTATGATGTGGCAATATCGGCAGGAGGGTGTAATCGTGGACTGGCCAGCCAGACCAGCCTGTGCATCGGTCAGACTGGTCTGTGGGCCGGTCAGACTGGTCTGTGCGCCGACCAGACTCCCACGGCAGCGATATGGGTGGGGGGGGGGGGGGGGGGGCGTGACTTCACCGCCCCGAGCTAGTACCCGGGCCCGCTGCCTCGGCGCAGGCTGGACGTTGTACCGCCGCTGTGCCGGCAGGTGGCGTCCGTGGCGTCGTCAGCCGGCCAGCCGGCGTACCGGCTGCTGACCCAGCCAACGGTACAGCAGGCCGTACCCGGCAGACAGGTGAGGGGAGGGGACAATAAAACGGGATGTCGGGACCGCGTGAAGTGGGATTGAGAATGAGTGTGAGCGACTTCATCATGTTTGTCACAGTAGCAGGCAACGAGATAAGATAGGACGGAGTTAGGGGACGCATGTAAACATTACCCTACATTAGTGACAAGCAGGTGATGAAATCAGGTGAGTTTGAATTAGGTACGCTCGGTTGTGTTTGGGTTTCGGGTTACGTCGACGGCAGCGGTCGTGTTGCACAAATCGAGAAGCTCATGTAAACACTAGCCCACTATTTGATGTCACGACCGGCCGTTTGTCCGGGGTAAGTTGCATGCGCTACCCAGGAGTGCGCCCCCACCGAAGAGTCCGTCCGAGCCCCGGAAACGAGTCCCGGCGCCCCGAGCCGACGGGGCTTCCGACGGGACTCCCAGGTGCTTGTCCTGCTGCAACACTATCCACGCTCCTCCGCCCCACGTCCCTGAGGTGGTCAGATGTGGCCGGGAAGGCTCGAAGCCAGGCCCCGCCAAACAGTGCCCGTGTGCCCCCAGGGGGTGCAATTCGTGCGCGTGGTGGGCTCGGCGGGCGGCCTGCAGAACTACCTGCAGTCGTCACAGCCGGCGGCGCACGAGGTCGCCAACACCGCGCCGGGCGCTGTCAAGGTCGCCATCGCGCCCAGCCAGGTCAGCGGTCGCCCTGTGGTTAGGAGCCGGAGCTCCGTAACCGGAAGGTCGCGGGTTCGTTTCCCGGCGACGGAAGCCGTTATTGGCGCCGGCCTTGTGAAGGCCCCGGCGGATCAGCCGCCCCGGTCCGGGCGAGGTTGGCGTCTGCGCGACGTCGCGGTACTTACGGCGTGCCGCCCTCATGGTGCGAGGCCCTCTTCTGACGGTAACCGTATGCTCTGGCGTCGCGTGCTAGATCTTTGGACCCTGGACTGTGGCGTTGGCCCCTTCAGTCCAGCCCGTGGACACCCACCCCTCTTGCGACATATGCCTGTATTTCGCAACGTTTCTACGTCAGGGCTTTTCAGACGACAGTTCAACTACTGATACGGCGACCAATCGAGCCTGTGAACCATTGATCTCGTGAGCTGTTGACCCTGCGACCCCATAACCCCGTGACCCGTGACTCTGTGACCTGCGACCCCGTAATCCTGCGACCCCGTGATCCGTAACCCCCAGGCCCGTGACCTGTGACCCGTGACCTGTGACCCATAACCCGTAACACTGTGGCCCGTGACCTGTGACCCTCACCTGTGACCCGTGACCTGTGGCCCGTGACCTGTGACCCGTAACTCTGCGCGGCCGTGACCGGTGACTGTGGCGGCGCCGCCGACTGACCCGGCGCCCGGCCGCTGTCCCGGCAGCCCTCCCAGCGGCTGCTGCTGCCGGCGGCGCCCTCCACCACGGCCGACTCGCTGCGGACCGACCCGCTGTCGCTGACGGTGCCGCTGACAGCGCCGGCGCCGGCGCCGCGGCCGGCCGCCCGCCAGAGCCGGGCCGGTCATGCCGAGTCGGCGCGCTCCCAGGTCAGACTCCGTCGCTGCTGTTCCGTTGTGCCGTCTGTGCTGTGGTTGGTGCGGGGTTCGGCGCTTTGCCGGTTGTGTTTTGCGAGGTTGCTTGGTTATCGTTGTGCTCGGCTTTCCGGCATGTGTTCAGTTCAGCCCGTCAGCCCATTTTCTGGCCCGTTTTTGTTGTTGCTGTTGTCTTCGTTACGGCTTTACAACGCACTCGGATACCGGGGCTAGGTGGCGTCGCCTGGCTCTCATACTGGCAGGAATGGCGGGCACCGCGGGGAATCGAACCCCGTACCTCAAACGCGCAGCCTGACCGCTGCACTTTTGGTACCCCTTTCCGTTTTATTTCGCGCGAGGGTTTTGTTATGACGCATGTTGTAGCGCTGTAGCGTCGCGGTCGGTCACTAATACTGTGCGCTGTTCTGATTTCTGTTCTGTTTTCTGCTCTACATTTTTCTCTGCTCTGCTCTGTGTCTCTTTCCTGTCCTGCTCTGTGTAGACTATGGTGTCCATCGACTGGTCTGCGCCGGTCCCCAGTATCGGGAGATGAGCCGCCAACAAGCGGTGCTGCCCACTCAGCGCTGTTTGGTACCAGAGATGCTCTTGCCAGGGATGTGCACCGTGCACGCTACAGTGTGTGCCTCCACTCATGGGTGGTCAGTTACGCTGGCGACTAGACCCCCCCCCCCCCCGCGGGTGACTGGGATTCTGTGCCATTGTGATCAGATGCCACCTTCGCTTGGCGCAGTATGTGGTGTATTGAGTTAGGATGGTGTGGTTGGCTTAATGAATCAGCCATTGGCCGTCTCTGGCTGGTATGACAGAAGAGCCAGGTTGGTCCGAGCTGAATGACATGGCTAAATGGACTTGGTTATGCACTTGGTTTAAAACATGTAATTAATTTCATTCATGGTTTAAATTGTAATTCACGTGAGCCGGTCAGCTCATTACCAAGCGACCTGCGGGCATTGTGGGCGTTACATGACTTGGCCTACGAGAATCCGAGTGCTACCGATCTGTCCTTCGCTGCTATTACCAAACCTGACAAGAGCAATTATGTTTGACCTTATCCAGTCTGATGCCCTGCCCTGCCCTGCCCTGCCCTGCCCTGACCAGCCGTGTCCGGCAGATGGGTTCGTCGAAGGCTCCGTCGGCGCACGTGGCCCGGCCCGTCAGCCGGGTGGACGGCGTGCCACAGATCCGGCCCCGCAAGCCCTGCAACTGCACCAAGAGCCAGTGCCTCAAGCTGTGAGTGGCGCGTCTGTTCGGGGGCGGCAGAGGTCGTCTGTCCGGGGTGGCAGAGGGCGTCTGTTCGGGGCGACAGAGGACGTCTGTCCGGGGCGGCAGAGGGCGTCTGTCCGGGGCGGCAGAGGGCGTCTGTCCCGGGCGGCAGAGGGCGTCTGTCCGGGGCGGCAGAGGGCGTCTGTCCCGGGCGGCAGAGGGCGTCTGTCCGGGCGGCAGAGGGCGTCTGTCCGGGGCGGCGAGGGGCGTCTGTCCGGGGCGGCAGAGGGCGTCTGTCCCGGGCGGCAGAGGGCGTCTGTCCGGGGCGGCAGAGGGCGTCTGTCCCGGGCGGCAGAGGACGTCTGTCCCGGGCGGCAGAGGGCGTCTGTCCGGGGCGGCAGAGGGCGTCTGTCCGGGGCGGCAGAAGGCGTCTGTCCGGGGCGGCAGAGGGCGTCTGTCCCGGGCGGTAGAGGGCGTCTGTCCCGGGCGGCAGAGGGCGTCTGTCCGGGGCGACAGAGGGCGTCTGTCCGGGGCGGCAGAGTGCGTCTGTCCCGGGCGGCAGAGGGCGTCTGTCCCGGGCGGCAGAGGGCGTCTGTCCGGGGCGACAGAGGGCGTCTGTCCGGGGCGGCAGAGGGCGTCTGTCCGGGGCGGCAGAGGGCGTCTGTCCCGGGCGGTAGAGGGCGTCTGTCCCGGGCGGCAGAGGGCGTCTGTCCGGGGCGGCAGAGGGCGTCTGTCCGGGGCGGCAGAGGGCGTCTGTCCGGGCGGTAGAGGGCGTCTGTCCGGGGCGGCAGAGGGCGTCTGTCCGGGCGGCAGAGGGCGTCTGTCCGGGGGCAGAGGGGTCTGTCCGGGGCGGCAGAGGGCGTCTGTCCCGGCGGTAGAGGGCGTCTGTCCCGGGCGGCGGCAGAGGGCGTCTGTCCGGGGCGGCAGAGGGCGTCTGTCCGGGGCGGCAGAGGGCGTCTGTCCGGGCGGCAGGGGCGTCTGTCCCGGGCGGCAGAGGGCGTCTGTCCCGGGCGGCGAGAGGGCGTCTGTCCGGGGCGACAGAGGGCGTCTGTCCGGGGCGGCAGAGGGCGTCTGTCCGGGGCGGCAGAGGGCGTCTGTCCGGGGAGGAGGGCGTCTGTCCCGGGCGGCAGAGGGCGTCTGTCCGGGGGGCAGAGGGCGTCTGTCCGGGGCGGCAGAGGGCGTCTGTCCCGGCGGCGGTAGAGGGCGTCTGTCCCGGGCGGCAGAGGGCGCTGTCGGGCGGCAGAGGGCGTCTGTCCGGGGCGGCAGAGGGCGTCTGTCCCGGGCGGTAGAGGGCGTCTGTCCCGGGCGGCAGAGGGCGTCTGTCCGGGGCGGCAGAGGGCGTCTGTCCGGGGCGGCAGAGGGCGTCTGTCCCGGGCGGCAGAGGGCGTCTGTCCGGGGCGGCAGAGGGCGTCTGTCCGGGGCGGCAGAGGACGTCTGTTCGGGGCGGCAGAGGACGTCTGTCCGGGGCGGCAGAGGGCGTCTGTTCGGGGCGGTAGAGGGCGTCTGTTCGGGGCGGTAGAGGGCGTCTGTCCGGGGCGGCAGAGGGCGTCTGTCAGGGGCGCAGAGGGCGTCGTCGGGCTGCAGAGGGGCGTCTGTCCGGGGCGGCAGGAGGGCCGTCTGTTCCGGGTGCGGCACAGCGGGCCGTCTGTACGGGGCGGCAGAGGGGCTGTCGGGGCGCAGAGGACGTCTGTCCGGGGCGGCAGAGGGCGTCTGTCCGGGGCGGTAGAGGGCGTCTGTCCCGGGGCGGCAGAGGGCGTCTGTCCCGGGCGGCAGAGGACGTCTGTCCGGGGCGGCAGAGGGCGTCTGTTCGGGGCGGTAGAGGACGTCTGTCCGGGGCAGCGGAGGGCGCCCGGGCATGTGATGCGGCACTGGGACGCCTGACGCCTTGTGGTTGTCTATCTAAATGGGGGGTGTCGGGGTCTCCGTTGTGAAACACCCGCGCGGCCGAGTTTCGGACAGGGCTGTGTGTTGTTTTTGTCGGTGTCTGGTAGAGACGCCGGCGGCTGGGGCGGACCGGATCCCTGCGAAGGGAGGTCCTCTGGCCGGTGCAGGGTGTCCCTCTGAAGTGAAGTACTCTGTCCGGTGATGGTGTCCCTCGGAAGGGAGACCCCTGTCCGGCGGAGGTGTCCGTCGAAAGGGAGGTCCTCTATCTGGTGAGGATATCACTCGGAAGGGAGGTCCTCCGTCTGTTGAGGGTGTCCCTCGGAAGGGACACCCACTGTCCGGTGAGGGTGTCCCTCGGAAGGGATGCCCTCTGTCCGGCGTGCGGGGTCTGATTGCGACGGGCACAGGAAGAGGTGTTACAGGGACGGCTGGTTACACTGGACGATGTTTGTATGGACCTGACTGACAATAAGTGCACGAGACCTTACAATTACTTGTGCAGTTATTGTAAGGTTATTTCGTTGTATAATTCATGAGGACGTATGAAGGAACATATAACTGCCTGTTAGACATGAAATAGATAGTTATATGAGAAGATAGGTAGATAGCTAAAAGATCGATCAGCGAGACGTAGCTACGAGGTGGCACCGTTTGTATTGGCTCCTTGCGGTGAGGAATGTCTCGTGGTTGTCTGATTGGGCGCACCTCTGCAGGCATCCGCGTATTGTGCCCTTGCACGTGGTTTGGTCCGACCCGTTCTCTCGGCGCTCCTGCGTATCTACGCTCCTGTGGTCGCTTTCTGAGAACGTTTTTTAACTCGTGCATTTATGTATTAATGTGGCCCACGTAACTTAATGTGTGGGGATGACTTACCGGGCAAATACCAGCTAAAGGCACTGGCGCCGCCACCAGCTGCTAAAACTGTAGCCAGAAAAGTCCCCTGTGACTGGAATCGAACCCGGTCCCCTCGGTCCAGCCCACCGCCGTGGGCACTGACATCGGCCGCCCGGCAGCTACTGCGACTGCTTCGCGTCCGGCGAGTTCTGCAACAACTGCAACTGCACCAACTGCTACAACTCGCTGGATCACGAGGAGGAGCGGCAGCGGGCCATCCGCTCCTGCCTCGACCGCAACCCGTACGCGTTCAAACCCAAAATCGGCAAGTCGGACAACGAGACGAGGAAGCACCAGAAGGGCTGCAACTGCAAGAAGAGCGGCTGCCTGAAGAACTTACTGCGAGTGTTACGAGGTGGGTGGCGCTGCTGGGGTGTGAGCGATGATGTCTCAGAGAGACATCCCGCCCGCCAGGACGCATCAGACACTCCGTTTCTGCTGGCGGAGTGTTGGTTGGCTATGTTGAGGATCGACAGGGAATAGCTGAGCCTTCGTGTAGATGGGTTTGGTTGTGATGAGAACTGTCCTGGCTGAGGGCATGGATGGTGAAGGGATTAATGAATGAATGTATTTAGAACCACTGCAGAGCGTAAGATGGTGCAAGGATAAAATGAAAACCTGACTTGGGGCACGTGCCGAGTATGTGGGGGATCCCAGTATTCCGGTGTGTGCAGTGCCGTTTCGCCCGCGCTCTTCATTCGGTAAGCCCAGGCTGTCCGCCCTCCTCTCGTAACCCGTAACACTGCCGCTGGATCAGTAATAAGTACCGTAATCTCACTTCGGTACGTGCGACACTGGAGCTGGTCCGCTGTCTCCCGTGCTCCCGACATCCCGTGTGTGCCTCACGCCATGGGCGGCGCGCTGCTGCTGTGCTGACCCCATCTCGCCCTCGGCGTTCCAGGCGAAGATCTTCTGCTCGTCGCAGTGCAAGTGCATGGGCTGCAAGAACCACGAGTCGGCCGGCAGCCGTCCCTCGCGCAGCGGAACCGGTGAGGACTCGGACGATGGGATCAGGGACGGTCCAGCGGCCCGACAGCCGGGGTCAGGGACGGTCCAGCGACCCGAAATCGCGTGTCAGGGACGGTCCAGCGGCCCGACAGCGGGGTCAGAGGCGGTCCAGCGGCCCGACAGCCGGGGTCAGGGACGGTCCAGCGGCCTGACAGCGGGGTCAGAGACGGTCCAACGGCCCGACAGCGGGGTCAGAGGCGGTCCAGCGGCCCGACAGCCGGGGTCAGGGACGGTCCAGCGGTCCGAAATCGCTTGTCAGGGACGGTCCAGCAGCTGTACAGCCGGGGCCAGGGACGGCCCAGCAGCTCGAGAAGAGAGCTGTGGGAACCGTTCGCGCGTCGGAAAATGACCACAAAGGCTTTTCGTACTCGTCAATGTTGTACTGTGTTCGCACAAATAAATCAGTCGTCTCTTGCCCTGAGGTGAGAGTGTTTTGGCATCTGGTGAGTGAGGTGAGTGAGGTGAGAGTGTTCTGGTGTTGTAAACAGCGGATTTCCTGAAGGCGGTACTGGTTCTGCGCCGCGCACTACCAATGACTGACACCTCAGTCAGTGTTCAGTAAACGTGCATACATGCTGGTGAGCTGCCGGGATTCGAGCTGTGCTGTGTTTGGGGCCTAGTCTGGTTTAGGTGGTATGCTGTGCTGGAGCCCAGTCTGATTCAGGTGGTATGCTGTGCTGGTGCCGTCTGATTCAGGTGGTAGGCTGTGCTGGTGCCCAATCTGATTCAGGTGGTATGCTGTGCTCACCTTTGTGTTTGTGGCCACCGAGGTTACCTGGTATATAAGCGACACCAAGACGGGGCTTTGATGCGGCCGCTAGCGCAAATGAGCCCAATCTCACTCCCTCCCTCCAGCTGGGGCTGGTTGGCAAGGGTTCCTCGCATCGCCGTCTGCGCCTGTGCGCCGAACAATCACCTTTGTGACCTCTCTGTCCGCTGCTCCCCCCCCCCCCCCATATGGTGAACTTTGACGACGTCGATGTGCTCCTTCCCTGCCTCCGTTCGCCGACATGGCTTCTTTCCCGCTGTGTGGGCGGAGTCCCCTGCGTGCGTGATGTCACTGTACGCTGTGGAAATTTCATCACCAGTGGTGCTGCTGCCCTGCCTGCAGTTTGCCCTCCTGTTTTTTGATGTTCGCTGGCTTCAACGCGTTCTTCCTTCACAGCCCTCTCCCTTGAAGCACGGCCTACCCTCTTTGTGGGCCCCTTTCCGCCGCCCTGGTCCCGTTCTTTTCAAGGGTGTTCCCCCCCCTCCCTCCCCCACTTGCACACTTCAAGGGTTTTGGTTGCGCAGTGGCTGTACTGAGCGTCTGTGGAACCAGAGGTATAAGGTTCAGTTCCCTGTGGTGGCCGCGCCTTATGCCGGAGTGGGAAGCAGGCGACATCATATAGCCTCAGTTGCAGCGTGTGTCGTAGAGCCCTAATGACAACAGCGGGCGTCCCCCCCCCCCGGTTTAGAAGGCGTCCTGACGCTGCCGCGACCCCCCGTCCCACTAACCCGGCCCCCTGCCCTAGGCGTGGCCGGCCCTCTGGAGGACAGCCTGACGCTGGTGGCCGGCGAGACGGGCTCCGGCCGCGGCCCCGTCCCACTAACCCGGCCCCCTGCCCCAGGCATGGCCGGCCCTCTGGAGGACAGCCTGACGCTGGCGACCGGCGAAACGGGCCCCGGCCACGGCCCCGTCCCACTAACCCGACCCCTGCCCCAGGTGTGGCTGGTCCTCTGGAGGACAGCCTGACGCTGGCGGCCGGCGAAACGGGCCCCGGCCGCGGCCCTGTCCCACTAACCCGGCTCCCTGCCCCAGGCATGGCCGGCCCTCTGGAGGACAGCCTGACGCTGGCGACCGGCGAGACGGGCCCAGGCCGCGGCCCCGTCCCACTAATCCGGCCCCCTGCCCCCTGCCCTAGGCGTGGCCGGCCCTCTGGAGGACAGCCTGACGCTGGCGACCGGCGAGACGGGCCCCGGCCGCGGCCGGCGCGCAGGCGCGCTCAAGGTGGCCACCGTTCCCGTGGCGGACCGGGCGCCGTTGGTGCGCGTCACGCAGGACGTCATCGACGCCACGCTCATGTGCCTGATGACGGAGGCGGCCGAGGGCGGCTCGGCGCCAGACGCCGAGCGGCGTGTGCTGAATGAGTTCGGCCGCTGCATATCAGAGATTATCGACTACGGCGCCAGGAAAGGTGAGTGTGGCGGCGGTGGGGAGGGGTGCGTGTGGTGACGGCGTGTGGCGGCGGTGGGGAGGAGTGCGTGTGGTGACGGCGTGTGGCGGCGGTGGGGAGGGGTGCGTGTGGCGACGGCGTGTGGCGGTGGTGGGAGGGGTGCGTGTGGTGAAGGTGCGCGGGGGCGGGGGAGGGGGCGGTGTAAACGGATGGGATGAGAGGATGCTGCGGAAAGGGCGAGGGATGGCCGCGGCTATGATTGTTGGCTTTTAGAGTTCTTGCTTGTTTCGCCTTCAAAGTGCGGCGATGCTGACTGCCTCATCGCGTGCACGCGATAAATATCGATAACTGAGCCAGTCAAAAGGCAGGAATTGAATGAATCAACAATCAACCGGGTGAGCATTCATATACGCACTTCCTGCAAGCCAATTGTGAGTAGACATGCACACAGTAGTAAGGCGGCATGGAAGTTACATGGAGCATGGAAGTTAAGGGTACTGCTGTCTGCTGGTCAGTGCCGACCAGGGGGCGTCATGGTAACCACGGTAGCTGCTGATGAGGCCGGCAAGCGGTTGTGATATGGAACAGGCTGATGAGTTATGACAACGATGTTCTGGACATTCTTGAAGGGATCAGTTCCGCTGAAGCAAATACTATTCTGGAGTTAACGACGAAGGACTTTGCAGTATCTCGCGACGTATTGGTTGTCTTTGTTTTGTTGATAGCGTGCTGCTTCCCATTGGCTGTCTTTATATTTGTTAATATTTTGTTATTTCCCATTGTTCGTCTTGCTTTTTGTTACGAGTGTTCTTTACCGCTGTGAACGTTGCGCATAGCGTTGGTCTTAAGGCGGGTATGGTAGGCGGGTACTGCGTACTGGTTTTTCAGCTTTTGCTGCTTTGGGTCCATAACGTTACGCTGGTGGATGAGGTGAGCGAGTGATAACGTTTCAGCCAGTTCGAGATTTGATTAGAAAGTTCAAAATGGTCTTGCCAATTATTGTTTTCTGGAGGAAAAATCAACAAGCCAGCCAGCTTTTTGAGATTGCTCATCTTTTATTAGAAAAAAGCAATCACCGGAAAGTTACTGATAATTGTTTACGTAACAGTAGTATCAGCAATGCCGTCGACGTCCCGACAAAGCACTAAGAAGCGTTTGAGATTTAGTAGTGTTAAACAGTTGCTGTTTTACCGTTGAGTTGCTGCTCGTTCTTGATATGTTAAAAGATACATGTGTTGAGCGCGGTCCATCCGAGGAGCCGCATGAGCATTAAGTAACAACACTTGTCTCGAGGTAACCTGAAAGAAAGCTTGCGTTCCCACCGGCTCCGCGAGCTGACCAACGGTCCAAGATAAGATCGTTTTGGTAGGTGCGATCCAGAATAGGCTTGTGAAAGGTGAAGTTTAAGTTAGAAGCATCTCCTTTTGCTGCCGAAGTAGACCGGTGCAACGCCGGCTGGAAGGCGAACTGGACTTCTTTCCGTCACAGTTCCAAGAGAGGTGTTGCCCTGCAGCAGATAGTGCAGCTTCTGAATCTGGACCCATGAATTGTGGTGGGGACCATGTGATCATTTTATATAGAATGAACGTGCTTTCAAATCGTAATATATATATATATATATATATATATATATATATATATATATATATATATATAGCATGAACGTGCTTCTAAAACCTCCTCCCATGTGTCCGGTAGTGCAGCGTTTCACGAGCCTTGCGATCCGCCATCCTGAATTTTTTCTCATCCATGTTATGTTCCTGCAAGGTGCTGCCCTGACGGAAGGAGCAGGACCCTGCACCTGCGCCTCGCCGCCTGTCCTCCCGCACCTTCCTCCTGCGTCTGTCGCGATGCTGAAGACTGGCGAGGCTCAGTGCCGAGGACTGCGGCGTATCCTCATCTGGTCCTCCGTCCTCCATCGCAGCTAGTGTGATGAGCTCCACTGGCTGGCCGCCGCCTCCGCCCGTGCCCCGCCCATGTTTTGCTGCCCCTTCAGAGCATCTAGGTATGGTTGGCGCGCTGTGAGTCGCCCCCCCCCCCCCCCCCGGCGTGTTGCCACTCCGGAGGGCGCTGGACAGACCCTGTGGCTGGCTTTGCTTACTGAACAGAGCCGTTCTATTTTGATATCCCCGGTCGCTTTGCTGTCAACATTTTGTAATGTAAATATAGTTATCCTAGTTAGTAGTTTTCGTACTTAAGTAAATAGCGGCCGCAATATAAAGTAGCTAAATATAGTGTTAAATTGTTGTATTATATTAAATGAAGTTATCAATTGTTGTAATATGTTTACCGAGAGAATATTGGAAAGGCGGAAGTACGATAGTGATACGATTGTCAATTCGTATTACAAACAACGAGTATCAAAAGAACCTGGACCACTACTACTGTAATTGCCAGCATTTCGACGATCTGACTCGCCTCGAGCTCACGCTGAGCTGAGGCGCAGTCCGCCTGCTGGCCTTCCCTGCAGCCCGTGGTCGCTTATTTGACCCGGCCGGCCAGGAGCTGTCTCACACAGATCCAGGCTGGTGGGATGCCGCCGCCTGCGCCGACGGGAGCCCACCTCGTGCGCGGCGCAGCGGGCCGGCGCGCGTGCTGCGCGTGTCCCGCGGCTGACGGGCGCCCCGGCGTCCCCGCAGGTGACGGTCTGGGCGGTCTGGTCTGATGGTGGGCGCCGGGTCAGCTGACCGGTGACACGGCCCGCGGTCGGCGGTGGCGCCCCCGCCTCCGCCCTCATCCCTGGCGGCGCCAGGCGACTCCAGCCAGGCGGCCCCGGCGGGTCCGCCAGTGCGCCAGGAAGTGGCCGCCGCCTCGACTGATGCTGTGCGCAGCGAGCTCGGAGCTACACTGCTACGGAGCGGGTACGCGGCTGCACTGCGATGGAGCGGGTACGCCGTCACGCTGCCACGGAGCGGGTACGCAGCCACGCTGCCACGGAGCGGGTACGCAGCCACGCTGCTACTACAAAGGTGTTCTGCTGCTGACGGCCGCGGCGAGGCAGGGAGCGGCTCGGACCCGTCGGCGGACGAGGCGGCGCAGGGTGTGCGCAGCTCGTGGCGACATCTGCTGGTGGAGCGGCGCTGGGAACGTCACCCCCAGCCCGGCTCGACGCCATCTGGCGATGGAGGGACGCGGCGAGCGACAGGAGCTCGGGCGGCCGGACAGCGGCTGCGGATGCAGCCGTGCGCGCCCCGGCCGGCGTCGGTCGGGCGACACTCGCAGTCATCCTCTGCGCCGCCGCCCCCGGTCGGGCGACACCTGCAGTCATCCACCGCGCCGCCGCCCCACTGAGCGGCGGCGCGCCTCACCAGGAACCGGCGCCACCTGTACGTCCGCCGACCTGGCTGGCGTGTGGCCGAAGCACACTCGAGCTGATGTACCGAGGGGCGTCCGAGGCTGGCCCCACGGCGCTGCAAAGCAGGCGGAGTTGGGACGTGCCGCCGGTTGTTGCCGTTTGTTTATAACGGCGGTCGGCGCACGGCGTGGGTTTTGTAATGTTTTTGCGTGTACAAATGGGTATTATCGACGTGGGTTGATATCTTCACAGTGTTGCGGTTGGCGGGCCCCGGTAGCCTCCCGTGATAATTTTATTAAAATGTCGAAGTTTTAACGGAAACGTGCGTTAAATGCTGCTCGGTACGATGTTACTTGAGTTCTATTGCATGCATTTAATTTGTGTTTTATAACGTGTCCAGCCTGACTCCAAAAGAGGGAAATACAACCGGGCTTGTGCCGGTTCCACACAGACTGGAACTCGAGTCTGCTGTGCGATTTTAAAAAGCGTTCTCTGTGTGGTGTCACCTGATTTTGTGGTGGCTTTTATAGTTTGTTTTCTCGCCGCAAACATAAACTGAATCAATAAACCATTTCCATTGCCGACTTTGATCGTTGTGGTCCTGAGGGTTGAGACATGTACACGTGCATCACTGTCGTACCAGCCGCCAAACAGCTGTGAAGATCGTCTGGCACAGTTGTACAGCGTCGAAACTTCTTGCTGCTAAATGCTATTGAGATAATGATTCGTATCGTATAGAGCTACTGGGACGTGTTATTTCTCGGATTAGCTTTTTAAGTCCCCCGATGTCTCGAACTGCCAGATCCCGTAACATGCAGGAGTCAGCAGGTTAGGATGTGCCGATTAGCGCTGCACTGTAGCCACCTACGCTAGCTTGCGTCTGTTGTGCGTGAATGCACATTGTCTGTACCAGCACGCATCATCAGCAGATGCACCTAGCCTACATACTTACAAATTGGCGCCCCGAGCGGTAACCCAACTGCCGTTTCATCGCGACCGCTGACACCGCGTACAGTCACCGGCACACTACCATCCGGTGCCGGTAAAATACAGCCTCTGACAGACGGTCCTGTCGCAGCCGGGAATGGCAGCCAGGGGCTTTTGGCACGGGAGCGGTCGGAACGTCCGCGCGCGGCACGCCCACTGACGGCGCGGCCGCCGGGGACCGCCGTGTCGGCCGCAGCAGGCGGCAGAAACACGGCCGGGCGGAGGTCCGCCACGTCGGCATAATTCGGTAGTCCCCGGGGTTTTTACGCCTCCATGTTCGGTGCGGCGTTGAGAGGACATGCTTATGGGAAGTATTCCACAGTGGAATCGGATCGCTCGCTTGTGCACTTTAAACGACAGCAAGCGTCGTATCCGTGCAAGTGTATGTCCTATCCACCATCCATGTCCTATACACCACCACCATCTATCCACCAACACCATCTGAAAATAGACCCATGCCACGTAACCAACTTCTTATGGCGTCGATTCAGCTTAAATCATACGCCAGTGGCATGTACGACCCAGCCTGACCCAGCCTGGTCCAGTTCAGCTCAACTCGGTTCAATGCGCTTCCGTCCGGTTTAGCCAGTCGCCCATGGCTGTCTGGCTGCCGTCTTCCAACGCGCTATACATCTCTCTCTCTCCTCTCTCTCTCTCTCTCTCTCCCTCTCTCTCTCTCTCTCTATCTCCCTCTCTTTCTCCCTCTGCCTCTCTCCCTCTCTCTGCCTCTCTCTCTCTCTCTCTCTCTATCTATCTCCTCTCTTCCCTCTCTCTCTCTTCTCTCCTCTCTCTTCTCCTCTCTTCCCCCTCTCTCCTCTCTCTCTCTCCTCTCTCCTCTCACTTCTCCCTCTCCTCCTCTCTCTCTCTTCTTTCCTCTCCCTCTTCTTCTCCCCTTTCTTCTCTCTCCTCCCCTCTCACTTCTCTCTCCCTCTCCCCTCCCCCGCGCGGTCAGCTGTCTTCGGAGCCGCGCTGAAGTTGCCCCGTGCGGTACGCCGCAGGCACGGGCGACAAATACTGATCCAGGGGCCAAACGTCGGCCAGCGCGTCTTTACGCCACCCCTGCTTTGACGGATACTTTCACTGCCGTTGGTTGAGTTCCGTTGTACGCGTACTGTGCGTCAATGCCGATGCGCGACGATCAGTGCCCATTTGCTTTGGCCAGTTGGTCGTCTCGCAGTCAAAGGCGGACGTCGTTTCTAAAGGGAGCTGATTTCCCCGGCGGCAAGCCTGGCACCGCCTCTGCGCACCAGTTCACCACCCGGTGGCAGGCCTGGCGCCGCCTCTGCGCACTAGTTGACCACCCCGGCGGCAAGCCTGGCACCGCCTCTGCGCACCAGTTTACCGCCCGGTGGCAAGCCTGGCACCGCCTCTGTGCAGCGAGGCTGCCAAAATACTTTGGCGCCGGCGCCGGCCGTCGGGGATATTCCTGGCCAGGTGAGCGGGCGCACCGTGGCCATGGACTCCGACCGGTTCCCGACCCAAATCGTGTCTCACCGACCGGACCACGCCGGGCCCGCGGCCCTCTGCGACCAATCCGGGGCACAGAGGCAGAGCGGCTGTGACCAAAACCGGGGCACAGAGGCAGAGCGGGCTGTGACTAAAACCGGGGCACAGAGGCAGAGCGGGCTGTGACTAAAACTGGGACACAGAACTAGCAGGCTGTGACCAAAGCTGGGACACGGAGGCAGCAGGTGTGACTAAAGCTGGGACACAGAACTAGCAGATTGTGACTAAAACCGGGATACAGAACTAGCAGATTGTTACTAAAACCAGGACACGAAGGCAGCAGGTTGTGACTAAAACCGGAGCACAGAAGCAGCAGGTTGTGACTGAAATCGGGACACAGAACTAGCAGATTGTGACCAAAATTGGGACACAGAACTAGCAGACTGTGACTAAAACCGGGACACGAAGGCAACAGGTTGTGACTAAAACCGGAACACAGAAGCAGCAGGTCGTGACTAAAATCGGGACACAGAACTAGCAGATTGTGACCAAAATCGGGACACAGAACTAGCAGATTGTGACCAAAATCGGGACACAGAACTAGCAGATTGTGACTAAAACCGGGACACGGAACCAGCAGGTTGTCACTAAAACCGAGACACAGAAGCAGCAGGCTGTGTCTAAAAGCGGCACACGGAGGCAGCAGGTTGTGACCAAAGCTGGGACACAGAAGCAGCAGGCTGTGACTAAAACCGGCACACGGGGACATGAGACGAGAGGCGTTGGCGTGAGTTAGTAACCTTTCCCCGCCCCCCCCCCCCCCACACACCGGGTGATGTGCAGGAGGCTGCAGCTGAAATGGTCGTGACCAGGGTCCAGCACATTTTGGCCTCTAGCGTGCGTGCGAATGGGAAAAAGCGTGCGTGCCAATTGGACTATAATTCAACGTGCATTGAAGTGTGAGAGCGTCAGTTTAACACGTCATTCAATGACTAAAACTTTCGGACGTCTGCAACATCGACATAAAACCGTTCTGACACTATAGCAGGGCGGGCTAGCCGGGACGGCGAGCGCGGCTGCTTCAGGCCTGCATGCTTGAACCCAGCGGACATTGTAGACTTCAGCTTCAGTGTATGGGTGTGGGTGTAATTACTGGGTTGCATCTAGTCAAAACACTCCGTGGTATCAGTCGTGTGAAAAATATAAAAACAAGAAACACTTCACGAAGAAAAGCATGCCAAAAGCGTTTTTTTCTGGCCTGCACCGTGCTAGCCGTTTTGTCGTTCAAATGCAAGGTCCGTCATTTGCATCATTTAAAGTGGGCTGGACGAGTCACTCCGTGGTCCGTTCGCAGTCCGTGACAAGTTCTTAGGTCAATTTTCAGCTTTGAGTGTAGAAATTGACGTTTAATAACGACAGCCATCCATGAATTACCGCCTTTCAGACACAGTTCAAGGCTGGAGCTCCACAAGCGGTCGGTAAAATAGTCGAACGACCGACGTTAACGTGGCTTTTTTCTGCTACATACGGTTGGTGCATGGTAGAAATTTGACAAACAACTGAGTTCCTGAAAAGTTATTCCGGCCCCATTGTGGTACGTTCTTTACCACATGCCCCTTGGTTTACCAGGCTTTTGGCCGAAGTAAACTAGCTTCTGTATAGGGCCGGTGCCTGTTTTGGATGATGTGTTGAAAAAAGCCTGGCAGGATGTAAATGTAATGTAAATGTTATGTAATACAGGATGTAAGAAAGGGGGTGCCGGTAGTGTAGTGGTTAACGCGTCCGCGTTAACCACTGCGCATCTGGGAAACCAGAGGTACGGGGTTCGATTCCCCGCAGTGCCCGCCCTTCCTGCCAGGGTGAGAGGCAGGCGACGCCATATAGCCTCAGCAGCTGGGTGCGTCGTAAAGCGCCAATGACACACACAGGATGGAAGTGCTCGGCGGAGCTAAGGGTTTGACCAGCTGACATAACAACGGTTTTCAACTGTTCCTGTTTTATCCATAACCTGTCCTGTCCTGGTCTGCCCATATGCCCCCCCCCCCAATGCCGTCGTGCGCCGTCCCTAACGATATGCTGCATTCCTTCAAGAACAGCCACCTGAGGTCGTGCAACCTCCAAAAGTAATTGACAGCGACAAATGCTTGCCCAGAAACCTACAAATTCGGAAACAGAAGCGCACTTCCAGGGTGCATGCTTAAACGGATCAAGTGGCTATTCAATCTATGATGGAACCTAGAGAGCTTGTTTCACATAGACCCTTTGTTCCTGCCCTCCCCCTCCACTCCTCCCTCTCTCATTCTTTGGTGAAACACTATCCTTGCGTAGCCCCGGCATCGATCACAGCATCGTTTTCCGAGAAAGCAAGTCCACTCACCTGTTAGGGATGTTGACAGAAAGCTCATATGCCATTCCAGGTCTCGTGACTTTGACTTTTATCACCGAGATGTGTTCCCCGAGCGACGAATGAGCGGACGCCAACGCTATCTTAACGCTTTCAATAAACCACATCACAGGAGTCAAATCTGAATGGGGTGGCGGTGAGTCGATATCAATGCACGTATTAACACACCTCACAATTTTACGTAAGTCGTACAGCAGCTGTCCTTGCCGCCTGATCGCGTCGATGCTGCACTGCATTCTGCAGAGGTCACAAACTTATGCTCTTTCGAATGCTTATGTCACGGTTCTCTTGTGCGGGTTGTAGACCGTGTGTACCGCCACCATGACGGCGTCCAAGGTTCCCTCCGTCGTTTTGAAAACGCCATCGGCTTTATTTACAAACACGTGTCAACCGGCCTAAGCTGCTGAGCTGCTGCTGACAAGCTGGAGGTAGCCACCATCAAATATGTAACTACACCCCAGTTACACGCGGTTGCTTTGGTGTTCTGAGTCCTCTTTAAGAACTAATCTTTGAGTAGCCCGCTGCTGAGAATGTGAAAGCCTTGGAATGTTTAGGCTATTCTACGCGAACGCGGGTACTAATATTTTAAAAATGAAACACGTGAGAGGACTGCGTTACAAACGTACTGATTACTGACTTAAAGCGTTCAAAAGAGCTTATTTCATAAACGTATTTTTTCGTCCGTTCATTGGCCGCCTCCTAGTGTTAGCTGCAGTGGTCAAAACAGCGCGGCCTAAGGAGACTGCA